TAAGGGTATGTCTGTGTTTGAATAGGGTGTGAGCCTGTGACATGGCCCAGGAACTAAGTATTTATCATTACAAAAGAGTGGCCAGGCTCCCCAGGAAATCCAGTCAAGTAACCTGCCAGACAGGAGATAAACAACGAGAGGAGAAAAACAACATTCAGATTTCTGTTTTAGACCGCCTTTTCTGTGATGTAGGTATGATGTATCTGGGGGGTGGTCTTAGGTTACACCCCTTCTGTGATGTATGTATGATGTTTCTGGGGGTGGTCTTGATCTACAGGGTGGCAATTTCAAAAGTCCATATAAGGCCTTGCGCCCCATTGTTCTGGGTTCCTCCTCCTTTCCTGCGGGTGAGGGGAGCACCCTGTTGCAACAGATCAATAAAGATCAGGCTTACTAGCTGCTTTGCTTCTCAATATTCTCTGGCTGGCCTCTGTTATTTTCTCCTACCAATAGGGAACCTATGTAAGGCCTCTATATGGGCTCTTGGATACCCCATAAGGGAAAAGGGCAATTTTTGTTTACAACACCAGCATCTGCCAAACCTTCCCAACCTTCTGTTCTGGCCATGCAGGCTTCCCCTAACCAGCCTCCACATCGTATTTCCTTTCTCTCTCCCCCCCCCCTTTGCTTTTCTGCCACCCCCACTGAAACCCTCACTTCCCTCTGCCTGCTTCATGTGTCCTACTTTGGGACAATGCAGCTGCTGCTGTAATTATGGCGCCATTTTGGATGGTCGCACAGGCAAATGCCATTGTGTAAACAGTACCTGGCTTGATCGGTATGCAACGCTTGCTGTTGATGTCAGGCATTTCTCCCAGAAGCCGGCGAAGGTGAAGGCTCCGGCCCAGCCGGGACGTAGGCAAGCTGCACGCACGTGTTTTTACGATGCTTTCCCAGCAAGAATATTGAAAGTGATGTTTTAATGGAACAATCAATCTGAAATAAATTAGTACTACAAACTAATAAAAGCTTTTATTGCTCGCCTCGCCGAGATGTACTGAAAGCTCCGTGCCGTTGGGAGGCTGAGGTGGGGAGGGCTGCTTGACTGCGCTCATGCTGAGTGACTCATTCATAACTCCCGCTCGGGCAGAGCAGGAGGGGGGCATTTCACAAATAGCTCCACTCCTTCTGAAATGTTTGCTGCACACACATATACACATGCATCTTAGCCATGGTGTGAAGTATTTGGGGAGAGAGGTTAAAGCTGAGGGAGGGTGCCTGAGCTAAACATAGCCTCCAACATTTCTCTGATGAAAATAAAGGTAAAGGTAAAGGGACCCCTGACCTTTAGGTCCAGTCGTGGCTGACTCTGGGGTTGCGGTGCTCATCTCGCTCTATAGGCCAAGGGAGCAGGCATTTGTCAGCGGACAGCTTCCGGGTTATGTGGCCAGCATGACTAAGCTGCTTCTGGTGAACCAGAGCAGCATACGGAAATGCCGTTTACCTTCCCACCAGAGCGGTACCTATTTATCTACTTGCACTTTGATGTGCTTTCGAACTGCTAGGTTGGCAGGAGCAGGGACCGAGCAACGGGAGCTCACCCCGTCGCGGGGATTCAAACTGCCGACCTTCTGATCGGCAAGTCCTAGGCTCTGTAGTTTAGACCACCGCACCAACCCCCCGTGCCTCTCTGATGAAAATAGGGACATCCTTTTCCAGAATAAGAATAATTCCATTATTTATACCCACTGGGTTGCCCCAGTTATTCTGGGCATCTTCCAACATATATAAAAACATAATAAACATTTAAAAACTTCCCTATACAGGGCTGCCTTCAGGTCTCTTCTAAAGGTTCTATGGTTACTTATCTCCTTGGCCCAGGTGTCGCATAACTCCATACCCTCCAATGTTTCTCTGATGAAAATAGGAACGCCTTAGGAAAAGTGGGACATTCTGGGATGATGATGATAATGATGATGATGATGATAATGTTGTTGTTGTTGGTGTTTAGTCATTTAGTCATGTCCGACTCTTTGTGACCCCATGGACCAGATCACACCAGGCACTCCTGTCTTCCACTGCCTCCCGCAGATGATGATGATGATGATAATTGTATCCCGCCCATCTGGCTGGGTTTCCCCAGCTGCTCTGGGCAGCTCCCAACAGAATATTAAAAACACAATAAAACATCAAACATTAAAAACTTCCCTAAACAGGGTTGCCTTCAGATGTCTTCTAAAAGTCAGATGGTTGTTTACTTCCTTGACATCTCACAGGAGGGTGTTCCACAGGGCGGGCCCCACTACTGAGAAGGCCCTCTGCCTGGTTCCCTGTAACCTCAATTCTTGCAGTGAGGGAACTGCCAGAAGGCCCTTGGAGCTGGACCTCAGTGTCTGGGCTGAATGATGGGAGTGGAGACGCTCCTTCAGGTATACTGGGCCAAGGCCATTTAGGACTTTAAAAGTCAGCATCAACACTTTGCATTGTTCTTGGAAACGTACTGGGAGCCAATGTAGGTCTTTCAGGACTCGTGTTATATGGTCTTAGTGGCCACTCCCAGTCACCAGTCTAGCTGCCTCATTCTGGATTCATTGTAGTTTCTGGGTCACCTTCAAATGTAACCCACATAAGAATAAGAATAATTTTATTATTTATATCCACTGGGTTTCCCCAGCCACTGTGGGCGGCTTCCAACATATATAGAACCATAATAGACATCAAACATTAAAAAACTTCCCTATACAAGGCTGCCTTCAGATGTCCTCTAAAGGTTGTATGGTTACTTATCTCCTTGGCCTGGATGTCACATAACTCTATACCCTCCAATGTTTCTCTGGTGAAAATAAGGACGCCTTAGGAAAGGTGGGATATTCTGCGATCAAATAGAAACTGGGATGACTTCTGTAAATCTGGGACAGCCCCTGGAAAACAGGAACACATTGACTAAAGGGACCCCGACCATTAGGTCCAGTCGCGGACGACTCTGGGGTTGTGGCACTCATCTCGCTTTATTGGCCAAGGGAGCTGGCGTACAGCTTCCAGGTTATGTGGCCAGCATGATTAAGCCGCTTCTGGCGAACCAGAGCAGCGCACGGAAACACCGTTTACCTTCCCGACGGAGCAATACCTATTTATCTACTTGCACTTTGACGTGCTTTCGAACTCCTAGGTTGGCAGGAGCAGGGACCGAGCAACGGGAGCTCACTCCGTCGCTGGGATTCAAACCGCCGACCTTCTGATCAGCAAGTCCTAGGCTCTGTGGTTTAACCCACAGTGCCACCCGTGTTCCATCCCTGCCAGAATGCTTCTAGTAATGGGCAGGTTAGGTGGCATAGCTCAAACAAAGCATTACCACCTCAGTGAGAACTAGGTCTTTATTGAGAACTTGAGGAAGGCTGGCTGGTTTTAGACATGGTCTTCTTGGTTTCTGTGTAGTCTACTAGAAATTTTGGCAGTTCATTACCACCAGCTGCAGCCTTTTCAATTTAAGCTATAAATCTGAAAAGACATTTTAATGGTGAATGTTTATATTTACAAGCTTGGTCCCTATCATTACAAGATTTTAACCCTGCCTGCAGTGCCAATTAATTTTCCCATCCATTTTTTACTGCATCAGCTTCTGCTTTTAATTTTTTTTAAAAAAAATTATTCCTTTTTGCAGCATCCAACATGCATAAGACTTTCCAAACAGCCGAGGAACAATGAAATACGACTCCTAGTGCATATATGCATACAAAATTTGATTCAAATCTCTTTCTTTAATGGCAGAACTGTGTCTGGGGTGGGATCCCGCGTAACTACCAAACAGTTGCAAGTAGAGGAAGGTGTGATGTGCAGCAGAACTCAGGTGCTTAACCCTTCCTCCACCTGCTGCTCCCCCCCCCCCAGCAACCACCTCCCCCCAGTGGCATACAGTGAAATGTTTTGTAGGAGAACATTTACGGCCAGAGGTCCCAGATTGCAAGGGCGAATGTGGGGGCGGCAACATCCTGACATCCTGGCATTGCGCCTCCCTTCCTAAGCCAGGCAGAAACTTCCTTCTCAGGACAGCAATACCTCAGGGACTGCCTCTTTCCTCTCTTTTTTAAAAATTTGTCCTTATTGATTTAAAATATCATCTTATATATATATTACAAAGTTACATCAAAATTAAACACAAAAATATAATAGAAAGAAGATAAAGAAAATAAAAATTAAAAGCAAAAAAGAGTTAACAGTAAGAAATGAATATTGGTTATAACATTCTGTCTTTTCTAATAAAGTCTTCTGAAAGAAACTTCCAGTCGTTCTCGTTGTACTTTTTTCTATTGTCTTAATTTTATTGCAGTTTGTTTTATAACTTTTCCTGTATATTCATATAGTATATTTATTCCATTTGTTTATTATATACAAGTATCATTCAGCTCTGCTAGGATAACATCATTACTACAATATAATCTTATATATTCTTTGAATAGTCTCCATTCTCTGAATTTTTTTTTATTTGGGGCTCCTCTGACTTTTCAGGTCATCTTTGCTAATTGGAAGTACTCTAGCATGAGTGATTGCCAATCTATTATTGTAGGTGTTGTTTCACATTTCCAACTTCTGGCTATCAGTATTCTTGACCGCCTCTTTCCATATGAACCTACCTGGACCCTGAGATCATCTTCTGAGGCCCTCCTTCGTGTTCCTCCTCCTTGAGAGGTCCGGAGCGTGGCAACACAATCAAAGAAGAATGGCAACTTAAGTTGACGGAATATGCACAACTTGCAGACTTAACATATAGAATAGAATAATTGTGTGCAGCTGAAAACGCCGGCAGCATTAAGATAAATTCAACAGTGTAAATAAGTTTTGATGGATGCAATAATGGAATACTGAATGGTATAGTTTATGTAAAATATGCAGGGATTTGTGATATGTAAAATGAACCATGGACAGAGAAGAAGGGAAGTCCTTGAGATCTTATTGATGTCAAATGAGAAAATTTAATAAAAATTATATATAAAAGAAAAGTTGTTTTGGCGATTTCTGCCCACACACTGCTTGTGGCTGCAGTATTCCGGACATATGATAACCCTATTTATATCATGTGCACTCTTTGTGTTGATTGCCAAATTCCACATACCTCCCATGGTTGCGTCCACAACAGCATAATAAGCAGATGCAAACACCACAGAATCTTCATATAGTCCTCAGCAGGCTAATTGGGTGTGGGATTTCTCTGCCATTTTACAAAATCCAATAATGAAAATGAAATCTCTGGGCCTCTGTGTCTGGCTACCTTGACTGCATGCTGATTGCATTTCCAGAATGATGTCATTGGGAGAAACGCAGACCATTTTCCTAATCTCAGCTGCAGCATCTGAGAGGCCTTCGAAACTTTCCATCTTCCAAAGTCACCATTATTCCCAGCAGCATCCTTCGGCTGCAGCACCAACATATCCTCGGCGATATAACAAAAGATATATGACCACTTAGAGGAAGGGTTTACACAAGAAGACGGATTTCTATTGCTCCCCAAACATCCAGCATCATCTGTTACCGTAGGTGACCTTATACATCGTCCGCTTGTGTGGCTCCTCTTAGTCTCGACGATGAATCATACTTCCCTCGGAAGAGGAATGAAGCTGTATGGGAATGAGAATGGTTTGCAGGCCTTCCGTAGCGTAAACGCTTTCCCTTAGAGCTCTGTTTACCATGTCAGGAAAGATCCAAGAGCTGGCTTGTTCATTTTGTTGTTTAGTCGTTTAGTCATGTCCAACTCTTTGTGATCCCCTGGACCAGAGCACGCCAGGCACTCCTGTCTTCCACCGCCTCCCGCAGTTTGGTCAAACTCATGCTGGTAGCTTCGAGAACACTGTCCCACCATCTCGTCCTCTGTCGTCCCCTTCTCCTTGTGCCCTCCATCTTTCCCAACATCAAGGTCTTTTCCAGGGAGTCTTCTCTTCTCATGAGGTGGCCAAAGTATTGGAGCCTCAACTTCAGGATCTGTCCTTCCAGTAAGCACTCAGGGCTGATTTCCTTCAGAATGGATGTGTTTGATCTTCTTGCAGTCCACGGGACTCTCAAGAGTCTTCTCCAACACCATAATTCAAAAGCATCAATTCTTTGGCGATCAGCCTTCTTTGTGGTCCAGCTCTCACTTCCATACATCACTACTGGGAAAACCAGAGCTTTAACTATATGGACCTTTGTTGGCACGGCTTGTTCATAGAGGCTAAGAATATTGTTGCGATCGTTGTTAGGATGAAGAGAGAGACTTTTCTTGCAGAGCCTTGTGCTGGGGAGATAGAAAGGGGAGGATATGAAATTTGGGCAGGAAACTGCAGACATTGAGCGCCAGTTGGATCTAGCCAGGACCCCAACATTTATTGCCAATGATTCCTCCAGGTATTCTGCCTCCCCTATGGCATATCTAGCTAAACTTGAAGTCCCAGCTGTCCTTGAAGGCTGATGTAGGAAGATTGCTTATGTGGAGAGGCAATGCCCCTGTGACTCTGGACAAACAGAAACAACAGAACCCATGCTTCTCCAGTGTCTTTAGTATAGAGACATTCGTACTAGCCTCCTCTTACCGTCACAAACCAAGTGAAATACCATGAAAATCCCTGAAACGAGAAGTAATTGACTGGAAATGACCGCTCCCCGCTTAAAACGGGGGGCGCCCTTTGCGTGGACGCGCGCAGCCCCTGGATCTGGAGCGGCTCCATCAGCATAGGCTTGGCTTTGCCTTCCCTCAGGTGGGATACCTGGAGGTCTCCACCTACCTCAGTCAGTTGTCCAATCCCACCTGGGGGAAGCGTTGCCAAGGAGACCAGGCCAGGTAGGGGAGGGATTACCTGCCCACACAATAGAGGGAATCCTCACTTGGCTCCTGAGCTTATTATCTTGTGGAAATAAACTAAATAATAAAAATCAAAAAGCTTCAGGGGAAAAATTAGAAAAACCTAAAATAGAACAAAGCCTTAACGAGATGCCGGCTACAAACCTCATTTCACTGAACTATTCAGTTTCTTCAGAAGGAAATAGAAAAATCATAAACTTTAAATGACCAAAATTCAAAAAAAGGGGGTGGAACACCCAAAAATTCTGAAGTATTATAATCCTAGCTCAACCTAGGTAAAGCAAAGCGCAGTAATAAAGGATTGAGGACTCAAAAGTACAGTTTCTAATACCGAATTTACAAAAAAGGTTTGAAAACCTAAATGGCAAGTTTTAAACAAAGCCCAGCTTGAAGAAAGTAAAGCATGGTAATAAAGGGTTGAAGACTCAACTGTGAAAATTCTAGTGCTGCTTTTACAAAAAGGTTAAGAGTCTTTAACATCAGCAGTAACATCTAGACCATGGGAGCGTTTCAGCCCTGTTCTTAAATTTGTTTAAAATCTAAAACAGCTTATCTTGTATTCCTTTCTTTGAATTTGTGCCATTTAGGTTCTTAAACCTTTTTGTAAAAGCAGCACTTTCTGAGCACTCCGTATCTTTGGGGAAGGTGGGAGTGAATGCTGTCCAGAGACTGTGAATCTGTCCATGTGAGAGTTAGGGTAAAAGCAAAATCTTTGTGACATCAGCCATCACTACACCAATCTGACCCTAATCTCTTTTTGTCCCATGTCTTAAGTGTGCTGGTTGCTAGGTATGCAGAGTTTTCTGAGCAGAGGGTGGGTATTGGCCACATTACTGTCGATGTCACAAAGCCATGAGTGTTAGGTCAGGTGTTTGTGACAGAGGAAGCAGCAAAAGTGATGGAGACAGCAACTGTACAACAGACCTCAATGGGCAGGATATGAGGATGCAACCATAAGCGTCAGAATTGGCAGAAAGAGGGTGCAATTGGGTGGCTGAGAAAGGTGATGCTTTGGTGAAGTACAGGACCAGCTCCAGGTATGAAGAGGCTTGAGTTTAGTGGTCCATTGGTGGCCCCTGGAAGGCTCACCTGGTGATGGGGGCGGTAGGCAGCAGCACTCACAGCAGTGCCCCATATGATGTCAGGAGCATTGTGGGAAATTAAAATGGCTGCTAAAATTAGGCTGCTCATGTCAGACAAAGACAAGTTATTTTAAGGGGGGGATGGTGGCCAGGGACCATTATCAGCAATGGGGTCTGCTGGGATGCTGTCGGGCTTCAGGGAATCGGCTTTCTCTCCTCGTGGCAGTAGATAAGAAGATCAAAGAAAGGAACATCTTACCAATTAGAATCTTTAATCATCACAGTGAGAGAACAAAGAACCCATCTCCTAGAAATGGCGGTGCTCCCAATTAAGGGTCACTCCCCCTCTCCGTCCCTATTAATCTACGTCACTCTTGTAAACTGAGCTTGTACCCTCTGTTCTTTCTGTTCTGACACTTTCTGAGCTCTTCTCGGCTTTGGGGAAGGGTGGGGTGAATGCTGTCCAGAGACTGTGAATCTGTTAATCCTCTCTCTCCTAGTGTTTCTTCTCCTAGCTGTTCCCCATCTAGTATTTCCCAGCTTCTGCTTTCTGAACTATGCCCCTCTGCAAACCACTGTTCCAAATCTATACTGTCCTGCTGCTCCTGGGAAGATTCAGGATCAGGAGCAGGGGGAGGAGATGGCTCCCACCATTCTTCCTCAGTGCAGCCCTCCTCAGCACGGTCCCTGACACACGATCACAGACTAGGACTTGTCAGGAGAAGCAACAGAAGCTGCAAATCTAAAACTGAGCAGAGAAAAACAGAGCTCATATGAAAGTGTGGGAGGTTTCCAAATTATTTGGGGGAGGCACAATCTCCAGTTGAAGAAGGGCTTACACCGTTCCATTTGGTGATGGAATTAAGCAGACAGAGGAGAGTTCAGATGAGTGAAATGTCGCCACAACTCTAATCAAAGAAAGATGTTCAGAGCTTTCTGGGAATGCTAAATTACCTGGGGAAATTAACTTATCCACAAACACAACATCTCTAAGGAAACCTTTGGAATATAAAAATGAACGATGCCAGGATGAGCAAGGGGAGAAATCATGAATTACTGTCAAACAACAATGTACAAGAGCTGGTATTAGTTTTCTGCTCCAGATAGGCCCATCAAAACTTCAACTGATGTGTCACCGTCTAGGACGGGAACAGTATGTCTACAGAAACATGATGCCTTCTGCCAGTGGGGTATTCATCTAAATCAATTACTGACACAGAAACAAGATACACATATTGTGAAAGAGTAGATGGGAATCTTGTTTACTTGTGAATGCTTTCATCAACATATATCTAAGGCCAGACTTTTCAGGTTGAAACAGACCACAAGCCCTTTATAGCATTGTTCAGAAAACCCCTGAATGACTATACCTTAAGGACTCAAAAGAAAATCAAACTGCACAAAAGTATTATTTGGCTGTAAGCAATACATCCAGTAAATTTATGTTTGCCGCTGATGTCTTTTGCAGAACTATAAATCTTACTTTGAAGGCAAAAGGGGGGGGGAGGCTTATTTTGAGGGACAGAATTATTAGATTTGTCAAAGCACACCTAGAAGGAAATAAAAGAATAAAACAAATCAAGGTGGAAGCAGAGGAACAGAAAACAAAGCAACAGAAAAAGGCTCATTGAGAATGGAAAATGATTGGCCATTCAGGAGTAGCCAGAAAGACCAAGATGCCATGTCAGAGACCACATTTGCTTTGTTGGGGGAAACCTTCATATTACCCAAGCTGGTATGCATGTACCCAGTCTGTACATGTAAGTTTTCCCCAACAGGACAAATTATTATAATAGATAGATAGATAGATAGATAGATAGATAGATAGATAGATAGATGATAGATCTCTCTATCTCGGCTGAAATGTTTATTTGTTACCCGTCTTTTTTTGTTTTTTAAAAAATCATTTTTATTTGATTGTACAAATGTAAATTTATTGTGATTACCAAAGGTAAAGGGACCCCTGACCGTCAGGTCCAGTCCCGGATGACTCTGGGGTTGTGGCGCTCATCTCGCTTTACTGGCCAAGGGAGCCGGCATACAGCTTCCGGGTCATGTGGCCAGCATGACTAAGCCAGAGCAGCACACAGAAACGCTGTTCACCTTCCCACCAGAGTGGTACCTATTTATCTACTTGCACTTTGACGTGCTTTCAAACTGCTAGGTTGGCAGGAGCTGGGACCGAATAACGGGAGCTCACCCCGTCGCGGGGATTCGAACCGCCGACCCTCTGTTCGGCAAGCCCTAGGCAATACCAAGTACATATCCATAAAAAGTGATTTCTCTGAATCTCGAGACTTCCCCCCCATCCCCTCCATGGGTCCAATTGTCAACATTTCCAACTGCATATTATTTCATAGACTATATTCTGTACCTATCTATATTGTCCATAGTATTTGTTACATTACAAGTGAAGTTAAAATCCTGCTAATGTTTTCATCTGCTTACAGTGGTCTCCTAAATAAATTAAAATTCTTTCTTAAAGCTTTAGTCTTCTTGGTTTCTGAGTTTTTTGGTCAGTTTTGCCATTTCGGCATGGTCTAGGGACTCTTTCTTCTTTCCATCTCTGGGCTAGTAACATCCGTGCTGCTGTTGTCGCATACATAAAGAGTCTTTTTTGCTCCTTTGGGATGTTGGTACCCACAGGTCTCAGGGCAGTTCACAAGATAAAATCACGATATCCACCACTGGCATGTAACAGCCCTCCTAGAAGGTTACACAAGAGGGAATAAGGCCCTCAGACTGAAAAAATATTTCCTGCTTTTGGTTTCTTGGACAGGTGGAAATGATATACATGGGTGAGGGGAACCTAACGCTCCCCGTCCTCACATACCACATTCAATTACCCTCCCTTTTTCTCCAGGTGAGTTCTGATATCAGATGAGAACCAGGATGAGAGAAAATTGTCTGAAGAGATAGGGATGTAAGGCAAAGGACCAAAAGCCAGTGGTCAAGAACCAAGATGGCTGCCTTACCCATGTCTACTTTGGCCCTCAGGGAAGAAGCACCCGTGTAGAATTTCTCCAGAACCTCCATTCGACTTCATAACACCAGTTACTGGCAGGCATGGAACTGCAAGGTCCGTTCACTTGCCGTAAGAGAAGGAAATGATAGGTACAATTTCACCAATAGATATAAAGTGTATATAGTAAAGTGTATATAGTCTTTAGCAGAAGGATGGCTGGATAAATATGTCAAGTAGAATTATATTACTGTTAAGAATTACTTCCAGGACATTTCAGCTCATACCTCAAGCCTTCATCAGCTGAGGTAAAATGAGTTGAAATGTTCTGGAAGTAATTGCTAGCAGCGCTGAAGAGATAAGAGTATAACTTCACCTGACAGGGCTAATCTCAGCGGACGCCTCCATTTGCCAGCCTTTAATCCTTCCTCAGATGAAAGGAGAGAAGACATCTATGGTCGCAGGCAGGAGTGCAGCTGATAGAGAAGGCTTCTGGCTCTCCTGAAACATCCTGAGGGAAAGTCTGGCCCAGATTTTGGACGTCTTTGTCAGTCTTGTCAAAAGAAGAAGAAGAAATTGCTTTCAGAACAGTTATGTCATGCCAACCCTGAACATGTTGAGATTTGTAGACTGGAAGAATTGGGACCGCCAGATTGTTTCCAGGAGGCATGTTCTTTTGTCACTACACTCGAAGGCAGGGAACAGAGAAGCCCTCAACTAGAAAGGATTGCCTCCTTCTCATGGGGCATGGACAACTTCCCTTGGGGTGGGCATAGATGCACCAGAGTTTCTGCTTCTAAAACCTGCACTGCTTCCCCAGGCATGCTTCTTTAGGGGTTTCACAGCTCCAAGGTTGTGGAATTTCCTCCTGTGCAACAACCTATACATTTGGCTGGCTGCAGGGGTGTCAACTTGAATAAAATATTGGGGGGCAGGTAGGCCTCACCCTGAATTTGAATCCCATTTGAATGGCAATACCCATAAACTTTTTGGGGGGTCCTATTTTCATCAGATAAATGTTGGGGGGTATGAGATTAGGCCCTCTGGTAGACCTAGATGCCAATTCTGTCCCCATAACTACTCTAGTACAGTCGTACCTTGGCTCCTGAACGCCTTGGGCGTCGAACATTTTGGCTTCCGAACGATTGAAAACCGAACTTCCAACAGGTGAAAATTCTACAACTGAAATCAAGTGAAACATGTCCATGGGAAATCAGAGACACAGAGAGACAGACAGAGAGGGAGAGGGAGAAGGAGAAGGAGGGGAGAGAGAGAGAGAGAGAGAGAGAGAGCCATGCTTACCAGGCATTAAAAAACCCCCACAGAAGAGCTTTATCCCATGCTATTAAAATGCTAACTAAGGTTCTGTGAAAGCAAGGGATAGGTAGCTTGCAAGACAGACTCTAGCAATGCCAAATACCCATTAAGATTAAGGGCTGCATTAAGATGAAATATGAAAAGTGCACATCAGGTTAATGAAATTATCCAACAGCTACTCTCCATAATGAAACACCCTACCTGCCTCTCATCAATCAAAGGCCACCTTTGTGCACCTCCAAGTCCTGGAAGCAGATTCCTCTCTCTATAGCCTTATGCATGATGGAGCCGAGGGGAACTACCGAAGAAATATATTGAGGTGGAAACGTAGGCCAGACAAATAGAACCAACCAGCAGTCATGATGTAAACATGGAATGGTAAATGAGGAATCTTCTGCATTAAAAAAACAAAAACAAAGAAACTGATAATTCTTCCCAAAGGGCAACTGATAATATACTTTCTTGGGGAATAGTTTGGCTCAGTCTGTCTATGATGACCAAGCACTTTTCCAAAACTCCATAAGTGTTCAGTGTAGCCTAAAGGTAAAGGTAAAGGGATCCCTGACCATTAGGTCCAGTCGTGGCCGACTCTGGGGTTGCGGCCCTCGTCTCGCTTTATTGGCCGAGGGAGCCGGCGTACAGCTTCCGGGTCATGTGGCCAGCATGACTAAGCCTCTTCTGGCGAACCAGAGCAGCGCACGGAAACGCCGTTTACCTTCCCACCAGAGCGGTACCTATTTATCTACTTGCACTTTGACGTGCTTTTGAACTGCTAGGTGGGCAGGAGCAGGGACCGAGCAATGGGAGCTCACCCTGTCGCGGGGATTTGAACTGCCAACCTTCTGATCAGCAAGTCCTAGGCTCTGTGGTTTAACCCACAGTGCCTACTGAGAAGTATATATGCTAGACACCACAATGAAAACACGGGCTGCCAGATATTCTGATGCTAAGACTTAGACTAGTGTCAATTTTATCCACCACCTTCTTTGGCTTCTGAGATTTCACCAGACATTGTCCGAACACTGCTCTGCATATCTTTCTATCCATAAGGGTTAGACACTTTTAAAAAACCCATACACACCAAAAACTGTGGTTCTCAGGAAACTGAATTCTTCAACCAATTCTATTGGCTGCTCATTTTCTGCCATCCTTACCCTTCCCACAAATCAAGAACATTTAAAAGAACAGTTCCACTGCCCTGACAATGACCCTGTAAGGCAAGTTGGTGATGACACGGGTGCTAGCCAATTCACACATCCTGCACAGTCCAGCTAACCACACTGTAAAATTGCAGGATTATTTATTTATTTTTTTAAAAAGCTCTCAACAGGAGACTGAAAAAAGGCATGTTTGTACTGGACTGTGTCTCCTTCTCTTAAAAATTACATCTGTTTTCACAATTTGGTCAGATCCCCTTTCCGCCTAAGGTCTGAATGCATGATGAAAGACTTAAATAGACCAGTGAAAAAGGAACTCTTCAGACTTAGGAAACTCTGAATTCACAAAGTCAAATGAGACAAGGCTGGGATTTGCTCGAAGCTCTGTGAGTGGGTGCAACTGTCTGCCACCACCATACATGACCGTATATAATGCGATTACATGGCTGCCGGATTAGCCACATAATTGTCCTTTTTGATTTTGCCGCTTTATAATTGTGCTCTTTAACAAGACAGGCTTTCAGAGGAAAGAAAAAGGATTAATCCTTCTCCTCCTTTGGGCTGAGAAAGTAACCTTCAAAATGTGATCTCAAAAGTAAACCATTTCTCGGAATAATTCCTGAATCGGCAGAGAAATAAATGCAAACTACTAGGTGCTTAATTTTGAAAAAGGAAATTCTCATCTAAATGGAAGCGGTGCCTTTTGCGCCTTATCAAATGCTGGAGCAGGAAGCAGAAGGGAAAGAACACAAGAAATTGTCTATATGCGACTGGCAGCAGGATTTCTGGCAGGAGACATTCCTAGTCCTACCTAGAGATGCCAGGATTACAGCTGGGACCTTTTCCGTACCAAACAGATGCTGTAAAACTGAACCACGGCCCTTCCCCACTCTCCGAATGTTCAATGTGACTGTTTTCTCTGTATTAGCCCATGCGACCCACAATTAAAAATCACGGCATCCAAACCATGGATATTCCTGGAATGAGCTATGGAAAATAGTTTCCATCAGCTGAGTCTTCATGAGTTCTCTCCTGCAACGGACCTGTTGCATTTCTCTATTGGTTGGGAGGGGGTGGTTTTCCCTTCGCTGGCAGCCCACCTGCTTTCTATGATGGGGGCAGCCCATCTCTTTTGCCAGCCTGCTCACTTGTCTGCATGGACTTCCATGTGAATTCCTTGTCACTGATGGCTCCCAGGCAAATGCTTAAGCATAAAGGTAAAGGTAGAGGACCCCAGTCAAAGGTAACTATGGGGTTGCAGCGCTCATCTCACTTTCAGGCCAAGGGAGCCGGCGTTTGTCCACAAACAGCTTTCCAGTTCATGTGGCCAGCATGACTAAACCGCTTCTGGCTCAACGGGACACCATAATGTAAACCAGAGCACACAGAAACGTTGTTTACCTTCCTGCTACAGCGGTACCTATTTATCTACTTGCACTGGTGTGCTTTCAAACTGCTAGGTTGTCAGGAGCTGGGACAGAGCAATGGAAGCTCACTCCGTCACATGGATTCGAACCGCCGACCTTTCAATCAGCAAGCCCAAGAGGCTCAGTGGTTTAGACCACAGAGCCACCTGCTTCCCTTAAGTATAAGGCTGCTTTAAGGCCCACAAGGCTGAATTCACTCCTGTGGAGTCCTGCCAAGTAATGAAATTCTAAGAAGTCCTTTTTATTCCATACAAGTGAAATGTCCCTTTGCTAATGTAACCATTCTCAAAGGGTTAGCAGTGTCCGTCTACGTTGCAGAAAAAGCAACAAGAGTCTTGTGGCACCTTAAATAGTAACAAATGCATTGTGGCATAAGATTCTGTGGACTAAGGTCCACTTCATCAGTCCAGGAACGGGGGACCTGTACCCCCTCCCAGATGTTATTGGATTCCATCAGTTCCAACCTGTGATCAGAGATGATGGGTGCTGAAACCAAACAAGGTCTGGAGAGGCACAGGTTCTCTATTCCTGCTCTAGTCCATGAAATACCATATATATCAGGGTTGGGGGGCCTTTGGCTCTTCAGATGTTGCTGCATTTCCCATCAGCCTCAGCAAGCATGGCCAAAGGGATGATGGAAGTTGTAGTTTTGGAACATCTGGAAGGTCAAAGGTTCCCCATACTTGATACGTATCACCAGTGTCAAAGCAATGATTCTTCTTCAACATCAACTTCGTTGGACTGGTCATGTTGCTCAGATGCCTGATTATCGTCTTCCAAAGCAACTACTCAACTCCAAACTTCAAAACAGTAAGCATAATGCTGGTGGTCAACAAAAGAGGTTCAAAGACTCTCCCAAGGCAAATCTAAAAAAAGGTAGTATAAACACCGACAACTGGGAGGCCCTGGCCTGTGAGAGCTCCAGTTGGAGAACAGCCTTTACCAAATGCGTCATGGGCTTTGAAGACGCTCAAACTCAGGATGAAAGGGAGAAATGCGCTAAGAGGAAGGCATGCTTGGCAAACCCTTGCCGTGATCAAGTCCCACCTCGAAACCTATGTCCCCACTGTGGAAGAACGTGTGGATCCAGAATTGGCCTCCACAGTCACTTACTGTTAAAACCGTGTTTATGGAAGACAATCTTACTCAGCTACGAGTGATTGCCAAAGGAGAAGCCATATCACAATAAATTAGTTAGGTGTCACAAGACTCTTTGCCATACTTCCTAATGTATTTTTTTCTCTTAAATTTTGTGCACAAAATTAGGAACAAGTTAGGCTTAAGGAACTCAGAATGTCTGATCTATAATGCAGCTGCCTCGTAGTACATGGAAGCAATGGCCCATTCAGCGCTGTTCCTAGATTGAGTCACTGATTTGGGGTCACTCCCAGCCTTATTATCTGAAGTCCTTTGACAGGAGATGCCATTGATTTAACTTTCTGAATGCCAAGTATGCGCTGGACTGCTGAGCTACGGCCTCTCCCCAGCCACTTTCTCTAGAGTTGTGCCACCACCTTCAATAAAAAAGGCATGAAAAGCATCCTGGGGCAGTGGGGGGGGGATTATAGTTTTACAATGAGCAAAATTCTCAAGGAATTTTACCTAACAGGGTCTATTTGCATTTGAAAACCCTAAAAAGCAATGCCCCCAAGTCCTGGAGGTTTAACTGCCCAGGCTCCCTTTTCTTATGCAAAACTGGCTCATAAAACAGATGTACATTGCAGCCATAAATGGAAGGCAAGGGATTGCTAGCAATAGGATGTGAAATTAAGCAGTGAGAATGTAAAAAAAAGGGGGGGAGGATAAAGGATGAAGAGCCAGATGCTGTTTCTTATAGAGGGGTTTCAGACAATGACTCCCATTTTAGTGTCTCGGGGAAACTTGTAAGAATAGTGTCCTGGGTACACAGGGCTGTTAATCTCACAGTTCCTGAGAATTTCTACCAAATCCACAAGCTTCCAAAGCTTTGCCAGAGAAGCACACCAAATACTGACCTCCAGTGCTTTTTTTCTTAAAAAAAAAATGTTTAGGGGTACTCTCATTTTCCTACTCATATTGAAATACTGCCCCTCAATGAGGCCAAACTTAGATTCACAAAATGTTTAGGGGTATGCGTACCCTTGCATCCCCCCAGAAAAAAGCACTGCATGCATGTAAACAGCATGCTATGAGTTTTCAGTTAAAGAAAACAAACAGTGCAATATCAGAGGGGGGTGGATCTTGAAAGATTGCAGGGGTTGCCAACATTTTATGCCCATTTGAGGTTTTTCCCCTTGGATCACTTCTCTCCCACTTTCACAAAGAGATAAAAAGAGAGAACACACACACACACACTGCTGGATTTACGTATAAGCTAAACAAGCTATAGCTTATGGCCCCACTCTCTTGGGGCCCCCCAAAAAATGCAAAGGGGGAAAAAGTTGGATGTAAATTTCCAAAATATAAGATAAAAAAACAAAAACAAAATAAAATCTACATACAGCAACAGTGTTGTGTATGGAGTTATTAGGCCCATAAATTACCAGATAGCATACAGTGGTACCTCGGGTTAAGTATTTCATTCGTTCCGGAGGTCCGTACTTAACCTGAAACTGTTCTTAACCTGAAGCACCACTTTAGCGAATGGGGCTTCCTGCTGCCGCCGCGCCGCCGGAACACGATTTCTGTTCTCATCCTGAAGCAAAGTTCTTAACCTAAAGCACTATTTCTGGGTTAGCGGAGTCTGTAACCCAAGGTACCACTGTATATTCAACACAAAAAACAGTGACAATTTGTTGTTGACAAAGGACAGCTGGACATATAAAGGATCCCATTACCTTCAGTAGCTTAGGGCTTCATCAAACCTAAATCTGGCCCTACACACACACACACACACACACACTTACACTTTCCTTTTCTGAGGGATCTAGGTAAAAGTTAGACCCAGCAGAATTTATCTGAGCCTTGGAAAGCATACAGAACTGAAAGAGGAAGTGGGAAAGTGTGTCACTTTTCCAACTTCTTTCCGCTCTACTTACTTTTCAAGGGAGAAAAAGGTAACCACGTTCACTGCATTGTGACCAAGAGGGCAGTGAGTGGAGGGGCTCAGAGGCTTCATGGGTGTCAACAGAAGATCTCAAGAGTGCCCCTACACCCATGGGCACCACATTGGCAAATGTGGTGCTAATGTTTAGTTACTCAACTCGTCTCGAAAGAGGATACAGTCAGTAGAAAAATCCACAGCTGGGCAAAAGCTTCATTAGAACCAGCCAGAATGTGGCAAAATAGTGGCATGCTTTCAAGTTCCCCATCAGACAAAACATTACATGAAGCAGAAAAGAGAGGAGAGAGGAGAAAAAGGAGAAAAAAATTAAAAAGCATCCTTATCCCCATCTCCTGCTTCATGTAACATCTTGCTTGATGGATATTTCTGCAAAATTCAAAAGCTTGCAACTATTTTGTGACATTTTGGTTGGCGCCAGTAAAATTATTGTCCAGCTGTGGATTTTGGAGGATTTTCCACCCGCTTATGGACCAACACGGCTACCTTTGCTTTTTATGTGCCTTCACAAAGTTATGAAGGGGGTGAAAAGCCTCTCCCATGAGGAAAAGGTGAAACATCTGGGGCTTTGCAATTTTGGGAGAGGGAGTGTACAGATTGTAGAAACAGTGAGATTCTTCCCCATCTCTCAAATATTCCCAGTAACCCAATAAAATCAGTTGGCAGTAGGTTAGGACAGAGGGACCAAAGAAAATATGTACACATTCACTAAACACTTAATGAACTTATGGAACACACCACCACAAATTGTGGAGACGGTCACAAGCTTAGATGGTTGAAAGGGATTAGGTAAATTAATGGAGAGGTAAGCCGTGATATTTACGGTAAATGGAGCCTTCATTTTCAGAGGCAGAAAACCTCTGAGCTTCAGTTGCAGACAAGGATGAGCTGTGGCCTTCAGTCCCTACTTGGGGGTTTCCCATAGGCTGGCCTCTGTTGGAAACAGTGTACTGGACTAGGCAGAAATAAACATTCCCAGCTGTCCTCGGAAAGGCAGTGTCCTGTTCTGACTCATGCCTGGTTGCTGAGAGATAAATATTAGGGGATTGAAAGAATGAATCATCAGCTGTTGCCAAACCCGGGTTACGCTAAGGCAGGGTCCTTATCTGAGCTGCAATCCTTGCCTCGCTTTTACAAATTATGCTTCATAGTTTCTCAAAGTCAGTATGCTGCTGTTTTTAAAGATCCACACACAAACCCACACTGCTGCAACTGCACACTCTGTTTTTGTTTAGTCGTTTAGTCGTGTCCGACTCTTCGTGACCCCATGGACCAGAGCACGCCAGGCACTCCTGTCTTCCACTGCCTCCCGCAGTTTGGTCAGACTCATGTTTGTAGCTTCGAGAACACTGTCCAACCATCTTGTTCTCTGTCATCCCCTTCTCCTTGTGCCCTCCATCTTTCCCAACATCAGGGTCTTTTCCAGGGAGTCTTCTCTTCTCATGAGGTGGCCAAAGTCTTGGAGCCTCAGCTTCACAATCTGTCCTTCCAGTGAGCACTCAGGGCTGATTTCCTTCAGAATGGATAGGTTGGATCTTCTTGCAGTCCATGGGACTCTCAAGAGTCTCCTCCAGCACCATAATTCAAAAGCATCAATTCTTCGGCGATCAGCCTTCTTTATGGTCCAGCTCTCACTTCCATACATCACTACTGGGAAAACCATGGCTTTAAATATACGGACCTTTGTTGGCAAGGTGATGTCTCTGCTTTTTAAGATGCTGTCTAGGTTTGTCATTGCTTTTCTCCCAAGAAGCAGGCATCTTTTAATTTTGTGACTGCTGTCACCATCTGCAGTGATCATGGAGCCCAAGAAAGTAAAATCTCTCACTGCCTCCATTTCTTCCCCTTCTATTTGCCAGGAGGTGATGGGACCGGTGGCCATGATCTTCCTTTTTTTGATGTTGAGCTTCAGAAGCTCAACTGCACACTCACCGGGCAATTATTTTACCCTCATTTCTGAAGACGATAGATGCATCATTGAGAACCCTTGTCCAATGGAGAGTTTAGCTCTGACTCCAGAATAACAAGGTGAAACAGTTCCAGGATTGACAGCTTCAGACAACGAGTAAAAGATTTGATTACTCTGTCACACCTTTTTTTTTTTTTTTACCTGAGTGGCAGTATAGAAATGTTTTTATAAATACATTTATAAACGGCTTTAAACCCATCCAAAACACAGCCCACAAAGTTTTAAACCTGCACTGAGTTTGGAAAGAAGACAAAGTCCCAACCAGAGATGAATGGTTGATGAAGATGATGGACTACGCTGAAATGGCAAAAATGACCAGGAAAATCAGAAATCATGAAGATAGAAACTTTAATAAGGAATGGGGGGGAAATTATAAGTTACTTAGGAGAATACTGTAAACAACTAAAAATTTTGGCAGGATTTGAGTAACACTTGTAATGTATTAAAAACTAAGGTAAAAATGGACTATTTTAAGAAAAATGGAGAAATTATATGATGCAGTAGAAAGTGTTTGATAATGGAAACCATGGAGGTGTGGAGGGAAGTCTAAGGATTCGGGGAATCCTAAATGTTGATGATTATGATTAATGTTTGAATTCAAATGTACAGTGGTACCTCTGGTTGCGAACAGGATCCATTCTGGAGGCCTGTTCACAACATGAATAGAATGCAACCCACGTCTGTGCGTGCACGGGTCATGATTCGCCGCTTCTGCGCATGCATGTGACATCATTTTGCGCATCTGTGCATGCGCGAGTAGCGAAACCCGGAAGTAACCCTTTCCGGTACTTCCAGGTTGCCACGGGATGCAACCTGAAAAAACATAAAGGTAAAGGTAAAGGGATCCCTGACCATTAGGTCCAGTTGTGGCCGACTCTGGGGCTGCGGCGCTCATCTCGCTTTATTGGCCGAGGGAGCCGGTGTACAGCTTCCGGGTCATGTGGCCAGCATGACTAAGCTGCTTCTGGTGAACCAGAGCAGCACACGGAAACGCTGTTTACCTTCCCACCAGAGCAGTACCTATTTATCTACTTGCACTTTGATGTGCTTTCGAACTGCTAGGTTGGCAGGAGCAGGGACCGAAGAATGGGAGCTCACCCCATTGCGGGGATTCGAACCGCCGACCATCTGATCAGCAAGTCCTAGGCTCTGTGGTTTAACCCACAGCACCACCCGCGTCCCTGCGCCACCCATATCCCTATCATGAAGCAAATGCAACACAAGGTATGACTGTATAGTGTAAAATTGAATATATATTTTTAATAAAAATAAATAAAAAATAAACCTGCAGTGAGTTGTGTTGTTTGAATGTTTTTGCATGAGGGAGCAACCTGAGATACGATAATGAGTGCCTTGGTAAACCATGGTTTGGGGCAACGTGAACTAGTAGCAGCAACCTCAAGCTTCCATTCTCTGCTGGGAAGATTTGAAGCTTCCAATCCCACTTTCCCTTTTTATTAACCATGGCTTGCTTAAAAGCCAGATAAGCCCTACTTAAATAGAGACCATTAGCACAGCAGGGAGAACTTCCTTCCCTGTTGGATTCCATTCATTTTCAACTTACAGGGAATTTTTCTAATGTGGGAGAGCGTTCAGAAACGATTTCTCCCATCTGCAACCCCCTCTGCTACCTAAGAACATATTATCACCACCGTCAATATGTAATTTGCTATGTCAGTCCGTGAGTTAAATTATTTTTCAAGTGGCTTTAAAATAAGCAGGGCTGGATCATTTTCAGACAAGTCAATGCAGTTTGGGCATGCAACGGGAGCGATAAGAAGCACCGAGACCTCCTGCTGCAGGATATGAGGTGACAGTTTGGGCGAAAGGAATTTCTCCCCTTGGACAGTATTGCAAAAGAAGCTAGGAGAGTTTTGCATACCTCAGAAGTATCCGGGACTGAACAATGCAACAGATTGCATGGACCTGTTCTGAGCAAGTCTAGCACATTCAGATCCCACTGCGGGTATGCGTTGGATTTCGGGTGCGGCGAAAGCAACTCTCTCATGGTAGTATAGAGGTGCCACTCCTCCTTTTTAACTGGATCTGTTCCTGTGCTTTTAAGAGAAATGGGACAAGAGAAGCTTTTCCGTAGCCCAGAAATGGAAGCAAGAAGAAATTCTGAGGAAAGAAGAATGGCAGACGAAAATAATGGACCCTGCAGAATTGGACAAAATGACAGGAAGGATTCGAAACCTGCGGGAACAGAGATTTACAGAAGACTGGAAGAAGTATACAAACTATTTGAAGAGCAATTGTAATCAACAAATTGCGCTAGTAGGACTACAAGAAGTTTTGTAGGGAGAAATATATGAAGTGCTACAAAGTAGATAAAGAATAGAGATATGGGTTTTGAGTTTTAAATTTAACAGAGAAAATAAGAAATGTATACTAAGAAATTAGATGGGGAAATTTTCAGACTGGACTGATGGAAGTCAAAATATTGAATAAGATGTAAAAATATGTTTAATTACTATTGGAAATGGTATGTTAAAAAACTTACACACACACACACACACACACACACACACACACATATATATATATATATATATATATATATATATATATATATATAGCTTTTCCAACCATTTAGGCCTGCACAATTTATGGCCCTGGAAACCAAATTCTGCCTACCAGCTATGCAATGAGGCAAGCCAAGGCACAACATTGCATTTTTCCTTTCCATCTATGTTCTCAGAGTACAAGTTTACAATCTCTTGCTCCTCAGGTTCAATGGCTGCTATTCCAGAATGCAAGTTTTCAAGGCTGCAATATTTACAGACCATCCAACTGTTCCTATTTTCCAGGGATGTACCTGATTTAGAGAAGCCGTCCCGGTTTCTGATTTGATCCTGGGATGTCCCACTTTTCCTTCGGAGTAATGTTGCAGGGTATGGAGTTATCCATCCCCCCCCCCCAAGCTGTCAGAAGGCAATCCTGTATAGGAAAGTTTTAAAAATGTTTAATGTTCTACTGTGTTTTTATAGATGTTAGAAGCTGCTCAGAGTGGCTGGGGCAACCCAGTAAGATGTGTGGGGTATAAATAGTAAAATTATCCTTATGGAATGGGATGGCCTATTTTCATTGGAGGGTATGTATATAATAATAATAATGTTGGAGGGTATGTATATAATAATAATAATGTTGGAGGGTATGTATATAATAATAATAATGTTGGAGGGTATGTATATAATAAATAATAATAATAATAATAATAATAATAATAATAATAATAATAATAATTTATTTATACCCCGCCCATCTGGCTAGGTTTCCCCAGCCACTCTGGGCGGCTTCCAACACAATATTAAAATACAGTAATGCATCAAACATTAAAAGCTTCTCTTAAACAGGGCTGCCTTCAGATGTCATCTAAAAGTCTGGTAGTTGTTGTTCTCTTTGACATCTGGTGGGAGGGCCTTCCACAAGGCGAGTGCCACTACCGAGAAGGCCCTCTGTCTGGTTCCCTGTCACTTGGCTTCTCATAGGGAGGGAACCACCAGAAGGCCCTTGGCGCTGGACCTCAGCGTCCTGGCAGAACGGTGGGGGTGGAGACGCTCCTTCAGATATACTGGACCGAGGCTATTTAGGGCTTTAAAGGTCAGCACCAACACTTTGAATTGTGCTTGGAAACGTATTTAGTCAACTAACAGAGAATACGAACCTTCTATTAGCTGGGCAGCAGGGATTTATAGTGCATGTGCTAAACACAAGAATTTAGATTCAGTAGGCATACAGAGTTTTAGATAGCAAGCACTTTCTAAAACCATGGGTGAAAGACAGCACCTTAGAAGTGGCATTCCTCCTCTGTCACAAAACTTGGAATGTCTCTTCTAAGATGGTACCAGTGTTTGCAGCATCTAAAAAGCACCTAAGAACAATTAAAGAACAATAGCTTTATTCATATGCAAATTTAAAGCGTATGTACTCATCTAATTTGTAGGGACACGGGTGGCACTGTGGGTTAAACCACAGAGCCTAGGACTTGCCAATCAGAAGGTCAGCGGTTCGAATCCCTGTGACGGGGTGAGCTCCCGTTGCTCGGTCCCTGCTCCTGCCAACCTAGCAGTTCGAAAGCACGTCAAAGTGCAAGTAGATAAATAGGTACCGCTCCAGCGGGAAGGTAAACGGCGTTTCTGTGCGCTGCTCTGGTTCGCCAGAAGTGGCTTAGTCATGCTGGCCACATGACCCAGAAGCTGTACGCCGGCTTCCTTGGCCAGTAAAGCGAGATGAGCGCCGCAACCCCAGTTGGTCACGACTGGACCTAATGGTCAGGGGTCCCTTTACCTTTAAAGGACCCCTGGGCGGTTAAGTCCAGTCAAAGGCGACTATGGGGTTGTGGCGCTCCTCTTGCTTTCAGGCCAAGGGAACCAGCATTTGTCCACAGGCAGCTTTCCAGGCATGTTGCCAACATGACTAAACCACTTCTGGCACAACGAGACACCATGACAGAAACCAGAGTGCACAGAAATGCCATTTACCTTCCTGCTGCAGCTGTACCTATTTATCTACTTGCTCTGGCGTGCTTTCAAACTGCTAGATTGGCAGGAGCTGGGACAGAACAATGGGAGCTCACTCGGTCACAGGGATTCGAACTGCCAACCTTCCGATCGGCAAGCCCAAGAGGCTCTTTGGTTTAGACCACAGCGCCACCCACTCCTGTATGGGAAAGTGGCAGCTATCACTAAAATTTTCTGTGGGCACAATGGAAAGGAAAACAAAAGCAGACCTGGAGTTATCCATCCCAGGTGGTGAATGGGAAGCAGTTTGACAACAATAGCTATTGTGTGCTACATCGGCTCTGCTATGAGAAACTGCTCTGAACGTCATCTCTATATAAGTGCCAAATCATGACTGCTAAAGGTGCACCAGATCAATATGACCATCTCACCTAAGGGTTGGAGGGGATGCAGGGAGTTAGACTCATTGATTCAGAAAACTACAAACAGATGATTTGGGTGGATGATCTCAGAAATTACAACCCAGACGCTGGTTCCAGAGGCTGCTTTGGCCATCTTGTCTACACATATCCTTCGGAAGAGTTCTGCATACAGACTGGGCCAACTATTTGCTAGCTGTGGCTCATAGGGAGCTGGCCCAACACTGGAAATTGCAGGAGGGTTTTATGCTGAGAGGCTGGGTGACTAGGATTTGGCAAAGGGAACTGCATGAGAAGCTTGCTAGGTGTGGTAGAATTAGCCAAGGGATAATATCCCATGATCACTTTATACAGTGGTGCCTCGCAAGACGAAATTAATCCGTTCCGCGAGTCTCTTCGTCTTGCGGTTTTTTCGTCTTGCGAAGCACGGCTATTAGCGGCTTAGCGGCTATTAACGGCTTAATGGCTTAACGACTTAGCGGCTATTAACGGCTTAACGGCTTAGCGACTTAGCGGCTTAGCGGCTATTAACGGCTTAGCGGCTTTAAGAAAAAGGAAACAAACTCGCAAGAACTCACTAGACGTTTCGTCTTGCGAAGCAAGCCCATAGGGAAATTCGTCTTGCGGAACGACTCAAAAACCGGAAAACTCTTTCGTCTTGCACGTTTTTTGTCTTGCGAGGCATTCGTCTTGCGAGGCACCACTGTAGTAGGGTTACCAGACATCCCCGTTTTCAGGGGACAGCCCCCGGATTTGTGAATAAGTCCCCGGACAAATTCCATCCCCGGAATGTCCCCGGATTTCATCTAATGTCCCCAGGAAACGCAGCGGCGGCAGTCTCAGCAGCCCAGAGCAGTTGGCTCTGGCTGGCTTCAGGAGCTGCTCAGAAGTCCCCATATGATGGTGGTGCAGGAGCTCTAAGATGCTGCTAAGGTGGCTGCCGCCAACTTCCCTGACCCCAGCAACTAAGCTGTGAAGGGAGGCTTCATGCTGCCTATCAGAGCTTGTGTGGAAGCAGGAGGGGGCAAGGATCTATTGGTTAGGCAACGGGAAGCTTCCCATCCCAACTGAGGGATCCCCACCCCTCCTGCTTGCACACAAGTAGGAATGGGATTGGGGCTGCTCCAATGGGAAGGGAGGCATCGTGATGCCTGAGCGATCCCTGCCCCCTCCTGCTTGCACGCAAGTAGGAGCTGGGATGGCGATGCTCTGAAAGCCAGTGTGGCAATGCTTCCCCACCACTGCCATCACCGAAGAACCAACCACTCAGGGGCTGCCCAGGCTCATGGAGAAAGGAGATAGAAACCTCAGAGGAAGTGGAAATGTGGTGGTTGAGGTTAAGGCGGTGGCCGCCCCTCTGCTGCTGCCATCGCTGCAGCATCAACATCCCGAATGTGTAGTAATTAATTAATTAAAGTGTCCCCGGATTCATTGAAAAAAAATCTGGTAACCTTATTTTACAGATACATGGGTGCTTTCCATTTGATGCAAACACAAGGAGCCAGATTCTGCTCTGTGAGCCATGCAATGACTTTAAAAAAAACCTAGGTCTTAGGGGGAAGTTAATAAATGTTATCAATGCTTGCATGTTGAAATATAATTATAGAACAACTATCGATGTTCTCTACGAAGGGGATTGCTCATTTATTTTTTATGATTCTTCTGTTAAAAAAATTAAATAAACACTCTTTGGTTGGGGGGGAGAGAGAGAGAGAGAAAGAAATAACATTTGAACAGACACATTGATTTGCATGGGTCCTGGAAGGAACCGGGAATGCAAAATGAAGAAACAGCATAAATAGCCCAGATCATACGCTGCTGGGGAAAAAAACTTCATTTTGACACCCTGAGAAGTTATTAGCAACTTGGCAGGTGAGATGTGTTTATTCTTGGCAGTGTCAATTTAAATACACTCGGAGGAGCGTGGCAATGCCTTTGCATTTATTTACCTCGCTTTGAATTTACTGTCCTTTAGGTCTTTCAGTTTAATGGCATGTCTAATTGGGCAAGAAAATCAACACGAGAAAGGACTGGTGTTCTGTGTGCGCGCACTAGTGCAGAATTCAGCTGCTTCCTGCTTTTTTTTAAAAAAAAAAGAAGGAGGAGGGAAAAATTCAACTGGCACACAGGAGAAACCGGCAACAGAAAATGCTTTACTGCTGTGTGACCTGGAGCTCCTCTGATAGAGGGTTGACTCAATTCACTCAACTGGCCAAGAACAAACCCCTTTGTAGGCAGGGTGGCTGGAACAGTGGGTGCAGAGGGACGGTGCAGGGGGGCAGAGCTGAGGGAGGAAAGAAGCCTGCAAAGAGAAGGATGCAGCTGCAGATGGAAAGAGGATGGAAAAAGCCAAGCAAGCAAGCTGGTTGGGATGGAGAGAGGCCTTCTTCTTCCCTTTAAAAAAAATATTTTTTATTTGATTTTACAAATAAAAGTTTATAACAACCCAAATCCACATATAGAGAGATTACTCCGAATCTCAAAACTTCCCCCCATTTCCTCCATGGGTCCTATTGTCAACATTTACAACTGCATATTATTCCATATTCAGCATCTTAAAAAGCAGAGACATCACCTTGCCAACAAAGGTCCGTATAGTTAAAGCCATGGTCTTCCCAGTAGTGATGTATGGAAGTGAGAGCTGGACCATAAAGAAGGCTGATCGCCGAAGAATTGATGCTTTTGAATTCTGGTGCTGGAGGAGACTCTTGAGAGTCCCATGGACTGCAAGAAGATCCAACCTATCCATTCTGAAGGAAATCAGCCCTGAGTGCTCACTGGAAGGACAGATCGTGAAGCTGAGGCTCCAATACTTTGGCCACGTCATGAGAAGAGTAGACTCCCTGGAAAAGACCCTGATGTTGGGAAAGATGGAGGGCACAAGGAGAAGGGGATGACAGAGGACGAGATAGTTGGACAGTGTTCTCAAAGCTACCAGCATGAGTTTGACCAAACCGCGGGAGGCAGTGGAAGACACGAGTGCCTGGTGTGCTCTGGTCCATGGGGTCATGAAGAGTTGGACACGATTAAATGACTAAACAACAACAACAACATTATTCCATATTCTATATTTTATATCCATCCATCTTATCCATAATGTTTGTTACAATACAAATGAGATTAAAATCCTGCCAATGTTTTCATCTGCTTGCAGTGGTCTTTTAAATAGATTATGAGTTTTTCTCATCCTTTTTTAGAGTTTTGATCCTCTTGGTTCCTGAGATTTCAAGTCAGCTTTTCCATTTAGGTGTAGTCCATCAGCTTGGTTTGCCCTTCCTGTCTGGTAGGGACTCTTTCTTCTTTCCATCTCTGAGCCAGTAGCATCTGAGCGACTGTTGTTGCATATATAGTCTTTTCTGCTGCTTTGGGATATTGGTATCTATAATTACTAATAAAAAAGCTTCTGATTTTTTAACAAAAGTTGCTTGAAGCATTTTCTTCATTTCATTATACATCATCTCCCAGGATGTTTTTTATTACCTTACACAACCACCACATATGATAAGAGGTATCTTCTTTTCCCCCCCAGTAGTGATGTATGGAAGTGAGAGCTGGACCATAAAGAAGGCTGATCACCAAAGAATTGATGCTTTTGAATTATGGTGCTGGAGGAGACTCTTGAGAGTCCCATGGACTGCAAGAAGATCAAACCTCTCCATTCTGAAGGAAATCAGCCCTGAATGCTCACTGGAAGGACAGGTCCTGAAGCTGAGACTCCAATACTTTGGCCACCTCATGAGAAGAGAAGACTCCCTGGAAAAGACCCTGATGCTGGGAAAGATGGAAGGCACAAGGAGAAAGGGACGACAGAGGACGAGATGGTTGGATAGTGTTCTCGAAGCTACCAGCATGAGTTTGATCAAACTGCGGGAGGCAGTGGAAGACAGGAGGGCCTGGCGTGCTCTGGTCTATGGGGTCACGAAGAGTCGGACACGACTAAACGACTAAACAACAACATATATCACCTGATTAAAAGTCTGTTGGTTTTACCAGTATTTTTTAAAAATTAATATTTTATACTGTTTCATAGAAACAGTTAACTTTTGGATGTGCGCTTAACTGCAAGACTGTCTCACATAAATAACCTTCTTGTTCATCAAAATCCCCATCTGAATGTTTTTGAAGTCTGCCTGCCAGTTTAGATAAAGAGGCTGAGCTGTGTGTATGTAGAAAGCTGGCATATTTTACACCTTGGGAGGCTGGCAGCATTATAGAGTTTTCAAGCCTTTTATTGTTTCTTGTTCAGATAGGAGGTTTTTTTTTAAAAAAGAAAAGGAAAGCTCGTGTTACTTTTTAAACAAAGAACAAGAGAGACATTAGCCCTGAGGGCTTTCAGCGAACACCAAGCACTACAGATCAAGGAATGCCAAAATGCAGGAAGAAAACAGCATTTTTATGGTGCGTTTTGACAGTTATTGCTGCTGTTGGCCCACGAGGGGGGGGGAAAACTTTAGAAACATTTAGAAACACAATGCTATTTAGTGAGATTTATATAAAAAGAGCAGATTCTGCTCTTTTGCGCAACCTGGGCCAACCCTGCAAGTCATCTGTGGCCAAGACAAAAGGAAGGCTTGCTCTCATCCATACTCTAGTCTAGACAAACTACTTACCCAATTGATAGGAGTACTTAGCAGTTAAGACAGCCCTTGTGATACACAGACCCTGCAGTATAGTGGTGGGTATTTGTTTCAAGACCCTCGATTATTTTTCCTCCTGGCAACTCCTTGCTTTGGAATTTTGCTTGCTCCGTTCCCCCTGCCCACTGCATGCGTCTTCATAGCTCTCCATGGGCTAACTCTGTTCCAAGTTTTCCAAACTTGGTAAAAAAAAGAAGAAGATAAAGGACCCCTGGATGGTTAAGTCCAGACAAAGGCGACTATGGGGTTGCAGCGCTCATCTCACTTTCAGGCCGAGGGAGCTGGCATTTGTCCACAGACAGCTTTCTGGGTCATGTGGCCAGCATGACTAAACTGCTTCTGGCGCAACAAAACACCATGATGGAAGCCAGAGTGCATGGAAACGCCGTTTACCTTCCTGCCACAGAGGTACCTATTTATCTACTTGCACTGGCGTGCTTTTGAACTGCTAGGTTTGCAGGAGCTGAGACAGAGCAAAGGGAGCTCACCCCATCGTGGGGATTCGAACTGCCGACCTTCTGATCGGCAAATCCTGACACAACAGGTTTGGCTTGGTGGCTTGTTCTCAAGGAGACAGAACAACCCATCTCCTACTCTGCCACCCTGAGTTGTTGGTTTTGAGTGCCCTGAGTTGTTCTGCAGCTTGTATTTGTTTGTTTGCAGCCAGAGAATTTGTGTGGTTTCATGGTGGAAGTGCTGGATTAGGGCCAGGGAGACACAGCTCTGAATACCTACTCGGCCACAAAATGAAAACACATCAAGCTAGACACAAAGGCAAACTGCTTAAGTATCATCATCATCATCATCAGGGATGTGGGTGGCACTGTGGTCTAAACCACTGAGCCTCTTGGGCTTGCTGATCAGAAGGTCGGCGGTTCGAATCCCCACGACGGAGTGAGCTCCTGTTGCTCCGTCCCAGCTCCTGCCAACCTAGCAGTTTGAAAGCACACCAGTGCAAGTAGAAAATAGGTACTGCTGTGGTGGGAAGGTAAACGGCGTTTCCGTGCGCTCTGGTTTCTGTCATCGTGTCCCATTGAGCCGGAAGCGGTTTAGTCATGCTGGCCACATGACCTGGAAAGATGTCTGTGGACAAACGCCGCCTCCCTTGGCCTGAAAGCGAGATGAGCGCCGCAACCCCATAGTCGCCTTTGACTGGACTTAACCGTCCAGGGGTCCTTTCCCTTTCCCTTTTACCACCCATAATAGCACTTCATAGCAGCAGCCAGCTGTGCTCCAACAGATATCTGGCCAAATCACATATGCGATAGTAATGAAAAGACTTGGGAGTTTCTCCATCACACACTTGGACCAGCCTCAGACTGCTGGAGGGAGGTTTTGCGACGGCAACCAGGGATAGGATTACACTTGCAGAACACAAGCTGTGTTCACAAGTTATTTCATAGGAGGCTCAGTGGTCTCTCCGTGTTATTTCACCAAAGAACCCTCGCTCTCTAAATTTAATTAAGACTGGCATTCTGCATCGCTGTTTTCATTTAACAAAGAGCTGCCAACAAAAGACCATTGTGCAAAGAATGAGCATGAAATGATTTCGCTATCGAATTTCTCCTTTATTTGGTAAATAACAGAAAGTGCTGAACTGACTTTCTTTCCAATTTCTTACTGGGGTGATTAGAAATCAAAGCATAAGCCTTTGGGGCCACAGCTTCACGGGAAATGTATTTGTTTTTAATCATTAAGTATTATGATCAGTAGTTGTTATTTATTTGTTTGTTTATTGTTGTGTAGATTTATATCCTCCTTTTTTTTCTTCATAGAGCAAAAGGGATTGTGAATGGAGTTCGCAGCTGGTCTCTCATCCAGGCACTGACCTGATCCAGACCCACTGAGTTTTCAGCAAGGTGACTGCTTTCTGTGCCCATTGGGCATGATCCAGGACCTCCATACAGCTCTGTCCTGCAGTTTTGCAGTCTCATTGTATGGAAGGGTGCTGTCTTTGGGCTAGCAAAGGGGAAGAGAAAACTTGGCTCATAGTACAGACATGTGTGTGTCAGAGTCAGTATTCCCTTCACTTCTGAGAGCCAGTGTGGTGTAGTGGTTAAGAGCACTGGACTCGTAATCTGGTGAACCGGGTTCGATTCCCCACTCCTCCACATGCAGCTGCTGGGTGACCTTGGGCCAGTCACACTTCTCTGAAGTCTCTCAGCCCCACTTACCTCACAGAGTGTTTGTTGTGGGGGAGGAAGGGAAAGGAGAATGTTAGCCGCTTTGAGACTCCTTCAGGTAGTGATAAAGCGTGATATCAAATCCAAACTCTTCTTCTGGGGGTGGCAGAACAAACCCCTCTGCTGATCTTAACACTGAAAAAGACCTTTAAGGATGGTAGTGATCTTTCAGATTTTTAAATTTCATTTAAGACTTTCAACACCAATGCATTTTGCTTCATTGGGGCCACCTGTCCATTTCTGTCATAGCAAACTAGTTGTGAATAGGCTTGACTATTCAGAATGAGGGCAGGGTCATGTATTCGGCAAAAATATATCTTTCTTGTGGTGAGATGGGAAGTGGAACCAAATGAACATGTTGAGGGGGGGAAGTGTGAGGAAATTTTTGGAGAAAATTCCAGCTCCTGCCCCTCAGCCTTCCTTTCTCATACTTAAAAAGTTCACTGAGCATGGATCTAGAACAAAACCTGACCGTCAGCTGACTTGAGTGAAGTCGTTCCTCTAAAATAAATTGAGAATATTGGCATGTAGACTGCATAAGCAACAACAGACTAGACTTGTGGCTTCTATTAAATTAGACAACAGGCAGGCAGGCAGCCACAGAGTCAGACGACATTAACAAAAGCTTTTGCTGAATACGACACAACTGTCTATGCCTGAACTTGACCCATCACAGAGACACAGAACGATCTGGCAAGGCTCCAAATTGCCGTTACAGAGCCACACACAACGCATGCAAAACGTCAAACAAAATTGCACTTCAGGTAGAGTCAAATTACCGTAAAAAAGCTGGGAAATAACACCTTGTCAGGCATAGAGGGGTTTCCTTTGAAATGCTAGTATTTGTTGTTGTCAGTGTGGGTCCTTAGGCAGCCACTGAGTGTGAACCAAGGAGGAGGGATTATCAAGTCCAACAATTTCAGTTTCTTATTTTCCCATCTCAAGTTTACATTTTGACATCAGTCTGCAATGTTTTTTTCAAGTCCTCATGAAATTTCATAAGCATTTTAGTGCAAAATTCTGATATGCACAGGTTTGTTGAAATGATAGTAGTGAAAATGCAGCTAAGAAGCTGAAATCATATATATGATTGACATCCTTCTTTGGAAATTATACCAATGTCCAGATTGAACATTCATAAACTTTACTTGCAGAAACTTGTAGTTATAGAATAATTAAAACATAATATTTACAGTCACATGCTTCACCAAGCATGGGTTTAGTCTCTTCTTCTAACTTCCAAACAACTGTATTTTCCTTTCTTTCCAGAGCTCAGCACTCACCCTTCTGTTTCTCAGTTAGGCCATGCCGTGCAGCTCCTATGAGAGATTTCCACTTTTACCGTCTCCTGCATCTTTGCTCTCTTTTTTTCAAGCAGAGGAGAAGCACTCCAACACTCTATTCAACTTAGCAGTGTTCACAGTGGGTGAGTCTCTCCTTCGCTAGATACCTCCCATGTGACCAGCATTAACTAATCACATGAGAATTGCCAGAGAACTCTCTAGAATTCAGTTAAAGGTAAAGGTAAAGGGACCCCTGACCATTAGGTCCAGTCGTGACCGACTCTGGGGTTGTGGCGCTCATCTCGCTTTATTGGCCGAGGGAGCCGGCGTACAGCTTCCGGGTCATGTGGCCAGCATGACTAAGCCGCTTCTGGCAAACCAGAGCAGCGCACGGAAACGCCGTTTACCTTCCCACCGGAGTGGTACCTATTTATCTACTTGCGCTTTGACGTGCTTTCAAACTGCTAGGTTGGCAGGATCAGGGACCGAGCAACGTGAGCTCACCCCATCGTGGGGATTCGAATCACCGACCTTCTGATCGGCAAGTCCTAGGCTCTGTGGTTTAACCCACAGCGCCACCCGCCTCCCTAGAATTCGGTTGCCAACCAATCAAATTTAAAAACATAGTGATGCATACAAGCATTTACAATGTCAGCAAATTAAATTGCTATCCTTAACAAGGTTAAGAATAATTCCAATGGTGGTGCTTGGCCCCATGCCCAGGGCCAGGATATATTTCAGGCTTCTCTAAGGAGTAAATCCTACACAAATCCAGAGTGGAGTCCAAAGGCATTTGGATGGCACCCTGTATCACTCCTGTAGCCAGGCTGGTGACAAATATATTTCTCTGCTTTTCTTTGGACCACATCAGTGAGGCCAAGAGGAGGGTCTTGTCTTCTGGGCAGTCCAGGACCTCCACGCACACTGCCCAGGCTTGCGCCCCAGAGAGAAGGCACACTCAATTGTCTCTCATGACAGATAGATACCAACAAGTGCAACAGTGGCCCTTCAGATGACAAAAATGCAGTTGTGATGCCCTGGGACTTGGGTTCGGACTCGGAACCAGAAGAGTCTCAGTCCGCACCAGATCCTTTGCCTCAGGCGGCATCTGAACCTAGTCTGGGGCCTGATTCTGAAGAGCCCCAGTCTGCACAGGTTCCCCTACAACAAGCACCAGCTGGGCCAAGTCAGGGGCCGGAGCCTGCCCTGGCTCCAGATGCGGGGATTACCTCGTTGCCTTCAGCCGGGCAATCACTTACAGCTGCTCTACCACCAGTTGGGTCAGGAGAGGCTGAGGTGGCCTCTGGGTCTAGTAACCCACCGACGTCTCCCGAGCTGCAGAGACTGAGGTCTGAGAGAAGGGGAGACCTGAGTACTCACAGGAGGAGTGCTCGCCTTTGGGCGAGACAGGGAGGTGAGTCACCGGAGGATCAGGACCGTCCATTACCCCGACAGATAAAAGGCTGTCGGACCCCGCCCCAGGTTGTGGGAGCAACATTGCTGTTTGCTAGAACCTGCCTGTGATCCTGTGCCTGACCTTGCCTGGTTTCCTGCCTCGTGTCCTGCCTTGGCCCTGTCAGACTGACTCCTCGTGGAACCCTTGGATTCGGGACTGGACCTGGACCGCGTTGCTTGGGTTAACCCCTGGGCCCAGCACAGCAGTAATATTGGGGAAGCAATGCAGAACAACTGAAAAAATCAGAATTATATGTGGACAGTCCAGTAAAATTCACCACTAATGCACTCTTGTTGTGTCAATGATACATTGCAGAATACACTTGCAAAAAAACCCACCCTCCAGTCTGGAGAGGCCTTTCGTCTCTCTCTCTCTCTCTCTCTCCATCATACTTCATCTTAATAATAATATCTTAGGTCTAGAGACATCTAGAAACATATTGCTTCGGTGAATCAAGATGCAAAAACATTTATCGCAATCCTTGCAAATTGAATTAATACATTTGTTGATGCATAACAACTCAAGGTGGACTTACTTCTTAGCAGCAGCAGATGGACTCTGTCAGGAGGACACTTTCCATAATTTATTCAGTGAAACAAAACCCAATTCCCTTATTCCTTCCTGTCAACAGATGCTGACAAGGCATTCGGCCGAGTTGGACATACAGCCTTGGCCAACCTGGTGCCTCCCAGATGTTTTGGACAACAATTCCCGAAAGCCCCAGCCAGAAGATGCTGAGTTGTTGTCCAAAACATCTGGAGGGAACCAGATTGGCAGAGGCTGTTGCAGCACTCCATGTAGAATACAATGCTTAGATTTTAGTATGGTTTTTCTATCACCAGTCTTAAAGCAATCAATTATCAATGGGTGGACATCCCAAAGGTTTCTTTCAAATGGGGCAGTGCTTAAGGGTACGCAGTACTAGCACCACCTTACCGTATTTTTCGCTCCATAAGACGCACTTTTTTCCTCCTAAAAGGTAAGGGGAAATGTGAGTGCGTCTTATGGCACGAATGGCGCTGTGCAGAGAGGGAGAGCTGCATAACGCCCGTTCAGTGAAGCGGGAGGAGGAACAGAAGGAGACTGCAAAGGAGAGGTCTGCGCAGAGAAGGAGAACTGTGCAGCGCCCCTTCAGCAACACGCCTGTCCTGGCTTCTGCCTTAGCTGCACGCAGCCGCTTCGGGCAGGGGGAGCCTTCATCCTGCTGCCCTGAAGAGGCTTGGCGCGGTTATCCCAGAAGCCAGAACCCTCTTGCTGTTCTGGCTTTTGGGATTCAGAATATTTTTTTCTTGTTTTCCTCCTCCCAAACCTAGGTGCACCTTATGGCCTGGTGCGTCTTATGGAGCGAAAAATACAGTAATTCATTCTGGAGGTCCGTTCTTAACCTGAAACTGTTCTTAACCTGAGGTACCACTTTAGCTAATGGGGCTTCCCGCTGCCACCACGCAATTTCTGTTCTCATCCTGAAGCAAAGTTCTTAACCCGAGATACTATTTCTGGGTTAGCGGAGTCTGTAACCTGAGGCGTCTGTAACCTGAAGCTCTGTAACCTGAGGTACCACTGTACCAGCAGCTATTTTTCTTTTTTTAAAAAGCACTGAATAGGGGTACTGTAATAAATATAGGGGTTGCTCGTGCGTAAGTTGCCGCCATTCCTGGCTAGGTTGCCTTGTTAAACCTTTTCTGTCTGGACAGCCCTTCACTTCGTGGCTGCCTCAGTCACTAGCAGAATCCGTCAGTGGGCGTTTCTTAAACCTTTTCCAGCATAAAAGCTGTTTGACCCCAAGTCTCCTCCTACTCTCCCTGCGCGGAAGTCTTCTGCGCAGGGAGGGTGTGGGTAGCGAAGGACCCGTGCTCTCCCCGCTGGTCTCCGGCGAGGAGTCCTGGAGCCCCCTCACCGATTCCCCCATCTGCCCCCTTTTATCCCTGGTGTTACGCTGATTTCCTTCCCCAGCTGATGAGCTGCCTCTCTCCCTGCTGGGCCCCTCTCCAGCATCGCTTGAGAGCCTTGCCTCCGCCTCTGGCTCTGATGTCAGTTCCCTGACAGGTACCCATTGGGGTTTTCCTCTTCTTAGCAGTTCTGTGCACCTTAAAAGCAGACGTTGTTTTGACCATGAGAGCTGACAACCAACTGAAAATACATCCCACAAAATTGCACTTTATGCTGATGGTATGATTTTCTATTTATCTCATCTTGAAAGATCATTACCAGCAGTTGTGTTGGGACTTAATCAATATGGTGCAGTCTCTGGCCTCAAAATAAATCATTTCAAGTCAGAAAATATTGAATGTCACAACTCGGATTGAGACACAGCGATGTTTGCAACTACAATTTGCTTTTCAACAGACAGCAAAGCCATTGAGCTAACTATGCATTAACATAATCACTTCTGAATCCCAACTAGGCTAGAAGAATTATGATCCTTTGGGACTGTAAAGAAAGATTTAGCTGCTTGGTCAAATCGTCATTTGAACTGGTATTGTAAAACTGTTCACTAAGAACGACCACCAAAATTTATCTTTCGGTCTTGGGTACTTATTGAAGGGTGGGGTTCCCTACATATATAAAGAAACAATTTTTTAGTTTGCTGGTTGCAGTTCCCCTAAAGTGATTAGTGAAATGATATGGCAAGTTGGTGAGCTCTATATGGGACAAACAACTTCCCAACATAACTAGGATAAGTTTGATCTGTAAAATGGGTAAAGGTGGTCTCACCTTTTCTCTCTTGGCTTGTGCATATTTCATACTGGGAATACGGGACGCAGGTGTCGCTGTGGTCTAAACCACTGAACCACTTGGGCTTGCCGATCAGAAGGTTGGCAGTTCGAATCCCCACAACGGGGTGAGCTTCTGTTCCTCTGTCCCAGCTCCTGCCAACCTAGCAGTTTGAAAACACGCCAGTGCGAGTAGATAAATAGGTACTACTGTGGCAGGAAGGGAAACTGGCTGCATTCTATACCAGCTGGAGTTTCCAAAAAGGGTTTTTAAAGTATAACACATTTCAGTAATCTTGCCTGGATGCGAATGCAGCTTGTGTAAAGGAGACTAGGTCTGCTTTCTCCAAAAAGGGCTACAGCTAGAGAACCAGTCTAAGCTGGTCAAAGGCACTCCAAGTCGCCGGTGCCACCTGTACCTCCATCGATAGCACTGAGGCCGGGAGATAAAAGTAAGAGGATTTGCAGATTTACCACCAGCAAGGCAGTTCTAGCAAACTTGAGGAAAAATGTAAAGGGTCATAGTTTTCAGTACTTGGAGGACTTCTGAGCCACAGCTTTCTGCAGAAGAATCAAAAGTTTGTCTCATCTAGTTTCCAAGCCCTTTATTCCATCTGATGTGTTTGGTCCAGAACCATTCTGTTGCCATAAAGGGTCTTATCTCCAGAATTCACATCATTCTGTTATGCCACAGCTTGGCACAAGCAATGACCTACATGCTTAAACAGGAGGTGTTTCTTCGTTTTGAGAGAATGGAAATGAGCAGATGGAAATCTAAAGGAAATGCAAATAAAAATTCATTCGTACGCACACTTTAAGGCTTGACAGGTATTCCTTCACTTTCTGGTTATTTGAGATTATAAAGAGTGATGTATTTATTTAAAGCCCTAAACGGCCTCGGTCCTGTATACCTGAAGGAGCGTCTCCACCCCCGTTGTTCAGCCCGCACACTGAGATCCAGCGCCAAGGGCCTTCTGGCGGTTCCCTCATTGCGAGAAGTGAGGCTACAGGGAACCAGACAGAGGGCCTTCTCAGTAGTGGCACCCGCCCTGTGGAACGCCCTTCCAGCAGATGTCAAAGAGATAAACAACTACCTGACATTCAGAAGACATCTTAAGGCAGCCCTGTTCAGGGAAGTTTTTAACGCTGTACTGTTTTTAACACTTGATTGGGAGCCACCCAGAGTGGCTGGGGAAACTCAGCCAGATGGGCGGGGTATAAATAATAAATTATTATTATTATTATTATTATTATTATTATTATTATTCGTGTATTCAATTTGTTTGCCGCCCTTTCTCAGAAGGTCACAGGGCAGTTCACAACAGAAAAATACTAAATGAGATCTCAAGTTACTTGGCTGAACGAAAGCAGTCCATTTACCACTGTGGTGGGGCAAATAAGGCATCGCCCCTTCCCAAGTTGTTCTTTGTTCCCCCTGCCAGGATTCTTTTGGGGAAATTATATATTTTTTACTTGTGACACGACAATGAATTACAGCCTCCGCTTTTTCTTTCTTTTTTAAAGGCAGCTTGTTTTATGAACAGGAGCAATTTAAGAACCGGGCTCTGTGAAAAATTCAGTGAATAAGGCAAGGCGAATACACGACAACAGCCTCATCTGGAAGAGCACCCCAAAAACTTGCTCAATATTTTTTCTGTCTGAGGGTGAACTTTTCATGATATACAAACACCATATACTTATTTAAGTGATCCTGGGGGGAAAAGCCTGTACCATAACATACCCTCCAACATTTCCCCGATGAAAATTGGGACATCTTATTCAATAAAATAGGGACACGGGTGGCACTGTGGGTTAAGCCACAGAGCCTAAGACTTGCCGATCAGAAGGTTGGTGGTTCGAATCCCCGCGACTGGGTGAGCTCCCGTTGCTTGGTCCCAGCTCCTGCCAACCTAGCAGTTCAAAAGCACATCAAAGTGCAAGAAGATAAATAGGTACCGCTCTGGCAGGAAGGTAAACAGCATTTCTGTGCGCTGCTCTGGTTCGCCAGAAGCGGCTTAGTCATGCTGGCCACATGACCCGGAAGCTGTACGCCGGCTCCCTCGGCCAATAAAGCGAGATGAGCGCTGCAACCCCAGAGTCGGCCACGACTGGACCTAATGGTCAGGGGTCCCTTCACCTTTACCTATTCAATAAAATAAAATAAAATAATAATAATAATATAATAATAATAATAATAATAATAATAATAATAATAATAACAATACCCATCTGACTGGGTTGCCCCAGCCATTCTGGACAGCTTCCAACATATATAAAAACTTAATAAAACATTTAACATTTTAAAACCTTCCTTTTATAGGACTGCCTTCAGATGTCTTCCAAAGGCTGTATAGTTACTTACTGAGTCCATTCCCACTATGCAATGGGATCTAAGAAATGGCCCGGGTGGAGACATAAACTCATCAGCTTTGACTTTAGCAAAGGTGGCAAAAGGGGAGGGGAGGGAAAGGAAAGGAAGGAAGGACTTGTTTCCTCCAATATGGTTTATTTCTTGGCGAATATTTTAAAAAAACATTCTGGCGTGTGACAGATCTCAGGAATATGAAACATATTTACATACTAGGATGATCGTAATTTGTATGAGGTCACTTGCTGGTTCATTCTGCCCCTTGAGTTCCTTGCTCTGCTTGTTATTTTCTTTTAAAGTGATGGGATGTTTGGAGTGCTGTAATGAAGAATTCCTGCCAGATTGCTGGGCCGTAGCTTATTATGGACACTTTCTGAATGCAAAACAGTTGATATACCCATAGCTGTCAACCGTCCCTTATTTGGCGGGCAAGTCGCTTATCCCAGCGCCGTGTCCTGCTGCTGTCCCTTATTGATGATGTCCCTTAAATTTCCTGGGTTTCAAAGGAAGCAGCTCCTCTCCCTCCCTCCCTGCCAGCCAGGGAGGAGGGAGGCTTCAACTGTGTTGCTTGGCTGCGTTGCTCACCCAATAAGGAGTCTAAGAATGACTGGGGGATGGAGCTTGCATGCCTTGTGCTGATCAAATCAGCCGTGTTGCCTGGGGACTCTGCTTTGCTCAGCGCTTCCCAGCAGAGAGGTGACGGTGGTTTTCCTTCCTACATCCCCTTTGCCGGGTTGCTGCGCTGTGGGAACCACCGCTTGAGGCTTTGTTTGGCTGCTGGCTGGGCTTTCTGCCTTTGGCTTGGAGGGGCTCAGAAGTTGAACATACCTGTGCTTGGAAAATCCCTTATTTTGGCTACTGATCCCTTATTTTCGAGGCTGCTGGTCCTTTATTTTCAAATCTGTAAGTTGACAGCTATGATATACCATAAGATATTGGATTGCCTCGATCCACTGATACTGCAAACATCTGTAACGTACAGAAAATCCTCTCTTGCAAGGTAGCCATCACCTTTTACAAAAGGGGTTCTGGAGGAGTGTGGTTTTGGGCATGGGAGGTGTCTTTTCAGGTGTGCTTCTAGGGGGCCAAAGGTTCCTCGGCCTCCTAGATATTTGTTTTAAGGGGGCAAGGCCCGCATTTCAGGTAGCCCTGCGCAAATTGCACCTGCATGACGTTCCCCACAATCTTGCAGACAACCCGGCACCTCTGAATCTTTTCATATAGCTACTGCGGGATTTGCCTGGTACATTCTATTAGGGCTTTAAAAAATAACAAATGGCTAAAATCTCAGCAAAAAATAAAATCAAAGAAAAGGATGACTTCAATGTACAGTGGATGCTCGGGTTGCGAACGGGATCCGTGTGGGAGGCACATTCGCAACCCGCGGTGCCACGTCTGCGCATGAGTGGGTCACGATTCAGAGCTTCTGCGTATGCACAAAGCGTGATTTAGTGTTTCTGTGTATGTACAAGCGCGAGCGCTGAAACCCAGAAGTAACCCCGTAAAACCCGAAACCCGAAAACACGCCCTCTGAAACATCTGTAACCCAAGGTATGACTGTAGTGGAACACATCAAACTGTAGGGAGGAAAACATGCCCTCCAGTCAACTAACATGGATGCAGACTTGTGGCACCTTATTCCCTGACGAAGGAGCACTGTTAGACCCCGAAAGACAAATAATAAAGTTACAAGCTTTTCCCAACACTGCCTTGAAAGTAATCTAATTATGGTTGCTAAAATCAATTTCTAAGGGATGGCCACTGGGGGATTCTGAGGGGGCCCGACGCCCTCCTTGAAAATTGGGGGAGAGGATTCAGCCCTTCGCCCTCCCAGATGGCACGCCTAACCCCAGAAGACCCCTTGCTGAATGGGACTAACTTCTGAGTAAACATTAAAAGAAGATATTGGCCATGGGGAACAGCGCTGCAGCATAGCAGACTTGTGGGTTGCTGTTACTTACCAGTGTGGGATGTGAAACACAAGAGCAGTCAAGTCCAACATTCCTAGAGTGTACATGTTTACACATGGGGAGGGATGTTTGTCCAGCCAGCAGGTAAACTTCCTGTTTCCCTCTGGGCTGGGACAGACTTTTTTTACATGTGACTAGAGGTGGATGTGGCCTCACCTGTGCAGGTAATGATAAAAGCACAGGGCAGGGCAGCCATCTCTCTCTTCCCTCTCTCTTTCACCACATGCATCGAAGAAGCAACATCTACTGAGTGAAAGATGCCCTCTTGGCTCCCAGCCAAGAGAGGACAAAGGGACTGTCTTCTTATAAGATAGATTCCAAATGTATGTTACTTCATTAAGCATAAGTCTGCCTTCTGGGATCTGATTGTGAACAGAATGTGAGTAAACTCTCTTTAAACTTTTGTAAAAGACTGTGTCGTCTCTTCTATTTTATGAGGGAATAAGGGGAAATTACCAGAATAGTTATTATAGAGGCTTTAGCGAGTCTGAGCAAATGCTGCCGTTGCAAACTTAAAATAAAGGGGAATGTATTACTCTGCTGAAATTGGGGAACTTGTTAACACAAGTTGGATAAGGATATAATCAGACAAGATATCCTCTCCTGCATCCCTGAACATTCCCACAACCAGGAGGGAGCAAGATGGTGGCGAGGTCAGCACGGTGCAGTCACACTGGCAGGAGCACCGCATTGGCTCTGCCAGTGCATTCGCACTTCATCAACCTTCCTGCCTGCTTGCTTGTCCCCCTCTGTCAGGTGGCAGAGGAACCAACCCCGACAGCAGGTTGCTAGGAACAGACAAGACAAGGAAAAGCCCTTACCATCTGCATTTATTCAATATTCACAGAGAGAGGCTTGGGAATGTGGCCTCTTGGAATAATGGCGTTGCTACGAGTGAAACCCCACCCGCTCCGTCTCTCCCACTTCCTCATGAATCATCAATCGCTATGGGTGCTGGAATGTGACTTCTGCCTTTGAGCTCTTTGCTCTCCTACTTTCAAGGCCCACCGTGTTCTGGAGGGGGTCTGGAATGCTTTCTAAAGACACTGTGTCAGCTGTCCCTGCCCTGGTGCTTCCTCCTCCTCCTCCTCCTCCTCTCCCATTATTTCCCAGTTTCCCCCCTCATTTGCCTCTGAGCTGGTGACCTCCCTCCCAGTTGCAATTCTGAACTGTCTCCTTCTTATCTGGAAAGGTCAGGCTGGGGAGGCGATCTCCACCATTCCTCCTCTGCCCAGTCCCTGACACCCTCCCAGTAAGCAACCACAACCCACCTGCCAGGCAACCAGCAGAGAAGAAGAAGAGTTTGGATTTGATATCCCGCTTTATCGCTACCCGAAGGAGTCTCAAAGAGGCTAACATTCTCCTTTCCCTCCTCCCCCACAACAAACACCCTGTGAGGTGAGTGAGGCTGAGAGACTTCAGAGAAGTGTGACTGGCCCAAGGTCACCCAGCACATGGAGGAGTGGGGAATCGAACCCGGTTCACCAGATTACGAGTCTACTGCTCTTAACCACTACACCACACTGGCTCTCCACCCCCAGCAAGCCAGCTCTGGCTCCCATAAGAATTGCTGTGCGGAACATTCATTGTGATCCCTCTTCCAGCCAATGACATAAGGACAATGACCCAACTGTATGCAAGGACTGCAGCCTCTGTCCCCCTCGCCTTTGCCACCCGTTGGTGGAATCAAAGGCTCGGCTCGCTGGAAAGCAAAATACAAGCAAGGAGATGTAAAAACGGGTTTCCCCCTTTCAATGTGAGCTTTCTTTGCTTTGATTTCCCAGGCTGCCATCCTTGGCAGCCTCCACCGACAAAAGCCTCAGAGGGAAGCAAGTCAGAAAGATCCGTCAGTCCGGGGCATGTTTGAGCTGATGCTTAGTCAAGCAGGCAAACTGTGGCTGACAGATAACATCTTTGGAAGAAGGTAGTTGAGCGGGTGTCAAGGAGGCTGAAGAAGATGGATGAGAAAAAGGAAACTGACCAACAAGGTTGGCCACGCCTGTATCTGGACCGATCCATTCCCAGCATGAAATAGTTTGGTCCTGGGCCAGAGAACTGCCTCTCCCTGCTTTGCAGCCCAGCTTCTTATCTTGTACACTGTGTAAGGATGGGGAAGATAAATTTTTAGCTTGTTTGCATTTTAGTGAGGAAATTCACACTTTACGCGCTAACACACAGCTGTCCTTCAAATTCCCATTTCTCCAGATTTTGCACTATAGTTGTCTAACCAAACAATGTGTGCTAAAATGTATATTTTACAGAAAAGTGTGAATAATTTGTTTTCATTTCCATTTCAGATGTTCATACAGTTATACAGTCGTACCTCGGAAGTCAAATGGAGTCCGTTCTGGAAATCTGTTTGACTTCCAAAACGTTCAGAAACCAAGGCGTGGTTTCTGATTGGCTGCAGAAAGCTCCTGCAGCCAATCAGAACCGGTGGAACCCGCGTCAGACGTTCAGGTTTCAAAAAATGTTCACAAAGCGGAACACCCACTTCTGGATTTGTGGCATTCAGGAGCAAAAATGTTCGAGTCGCAAGGCGTTTGACTTCTGAGGTACAACTGTACCGTATAATATTCAGAATTTCTAAGTGGTGTGCAAAGAATGTTTTTTAAGAACCACACAGAGAACAAGAACAATTAAAATTCATCATAAAAACAGAAAACACTCTTAAAATGAATGAAAATAGCACATTAAAATGCAATGTAATGGGGGGATTGCGTGCAAAAATGTCTGGGTTAGAAGAAATTAGAATAAAGATGCTAATGAGTTTTCATGATGATTTAGTATTATTATTTTTAAAATGTAAACAAATTTGTAAACTGCTGCAGAAATGTAGAGGACTGAATTTATGATTGGAAAAATTAGAACTGAAAGAAACCAAAACTGACAAATTCATCCGTTCCTAACTCTGAGGAAGTAAAATTCCCCAATTCTTTAAATCACAAATGCTTAAAATTAAGTTTTCTAAACAAGTTGAAATGCTTCTTTCATAGCTTTAGCTATCCATTGCATTAGCAAGCCAGCTGTTTCGTCAACAGAACAGAATGGAAATAATTTAAGGCGCTATAAAAACATCATTCTGCAACAAGCCGTGTCGATTTTCAGAAAAGTTGTCCTATCCCTGCCGCCCCAGCCAGATATAGAGGTATTGTAAATAATACCAGAGGCCCTGTTGTTAAGGAGTGCTTCAGCTTTCCTCATATTTCCTCATATTCATTCCAAATATCTGGAGTACTAGGGAACCCCGACCACTGGAATATGTACTGGTCTTTTAAAGTAGAAATTAAACTACACCTTCCATCAGCTCCAGTCCCACAATGTCTGGAGGGTCACAGGTTGCAACATTTAAAAATATGGTTTCCAGAGGCAAGGAAGGAAATGAAAACTTTCTTTATGGAAACGGCCAACACAGAGTTAGTTACAGGAGATAAGTGGCTTGCTCTTCGATTCACATGGAAGGTCCTACTCGGCTCCTGCGGTGAAGAAGAATGATTGCAGTGACAAGCTCCCTTGTGCGGCTAAAAGAATTATTACTCGAAGCCAAGCCTCAGAGTGCAGCATCGTTAATAAGCTTCCTCCAGGAAAGACATCATTCAGCCAGGCAATGATCTGTAATCCTGATGGTTCCTTAAGATCAAGCTCTGCCACAGCAGGCACTGCGATGCCCGCCTCCATCTATGGCTTGTTTGCTGACTGAGGCTACCTTCAGTTCAATAACAGAACAGAGGGAGCATGGAAAGGGAGGACAGTGGGGAGAGGGGGTTATAAAATTATGAATATAGTAGTGGAGAGTGGGGCTTTCTTCCCTCTCTCACTCATAATATTAAAACTCTGGGCTCACTCCAAGCAAAAATGAACAGCATGGAGCTTGCGATAGAAGGAAGGAGCAGCTTCATACACCGGGCAGAATATGTGAGGACCAGTTCTATTCTTCTAGAGCAGCCTTTCTCAACCTCCGGGTCCCCAGATGTTGTTGAACTACAAATGCATCTCGAGGCCCCAAGACCCACCCCCAAAATAAATACACACGGACACTTATATTAGTTTAAGTTTTGGGGCAAAATTTTTGGCCACAACTTTATTGAAATACAATCACGTGAGCGGTATTGGCTTAGGCATTGACTCCCCACTATAACTGGCTCCACCTCTCAGGGCAATCATCTAATGGGGTAAACCAAACGAGGGAGCTAGGTCGATGAGGACCAACCAAAGCTCACCCCGAGGTTCCTGTGGTCCTGGCATGGCCCTAGCCCCTCAAGCGGACTTCGGACGAGATCCAGGACCCCCAGATTCCTTTTACGGAATACCCAGTTCCTGGAGGGGCAGGTGATGGCCGCACCTCCCCTCCCCACAATCCAACTGAGCCATTGTCTAACCGCCACCTTACAAGTTGTGACGATTTGCTGAGGGGTAGGCGAAAACCAAATGGCTAAAGCCAATCTTCCAAATGGAAAAATTCCTACCCAGCCCCTGTTCCAAAACAGGCGACCCAAACCAAAGCAAGGCCAAGCGACTCTACCTAAACTAGGGAGGTTGGGTGGGTGTTCAACAGTGCGAAGCAAGTGCCCCTCCTTGCATCACACTGCTGTTTTTAAAGCCCCTGGGATCACGCCACCCACTGGGGATTGGCTAAAATCGCCTGGTGTGATCCCAGGGGAATGGCCAGGACTTCTTGCTCCTCCCCCCCCCATTCTAACCCTATCAGGTGAGCTCTTGGGTCCCGTGCGCAACTAGGACCCTCTGTTATGAGGATCCCATCTCCCATCACCCCTAGCTAGCAAGGCCAGAGCTCAGGGATGATGGGAGTTGTAGTCCAACAACATCTGGGGACCCACAGGTTGAGAACCACTGTTCTAAAGAAAGAGGTGCCGGAAATCACCATGATCACCTCAGTTGTTCTCTTATAATGGCAATGGTGCCCACTTACAAGGTGCTGGAACTGAGTTCTGGCTGAAAAAAGCCCCAGTGATGAGTCACTAGGTTAGATTGTGCTAGAAAATGATTAAAACTAATTTGTAAGGCTCAATTTGCTGCACTTACATTCCACTGGTTAGCTTAATTTGGACCCAAACTGTGCAGAATAGGACTATTTCCTTTCAGGGACTTTTAGCCACGAAAACGAAGGATGGAACTGCAAGCCAGGGTGTATCTCTGAATGGTACATGAGTGAGGATGAACAGCAGATGAAGACCATCAGCTTTAGGTCCTGGTTGGGAACAGAACTCAAGAACAGATGGACCTCTGACCTGATGCAACATGCTTCTTCTTCTGCATGCCATGGCGCTCTATATTAATACCTCATCTGGGAGAGAATACTCAGTAATCATAATAATAATAATAATAATAATTTATTATTTGTACCCCGCCCATCTGGCTGGGCCTCCCCAGCCACTCTGGGCGGCTTCCATAGAAACAAAAAATACAGTAAAATATCACAGATTAAAAGCTTCCCTGAACATAGGCTCCTCCCTATGGCGTTTGCCCTCCTAGGTGACATCATGCTGAGTCATAATGAAAGGGTTAAATGAGTGTGAAGTGATTGGCAAGTGGGAACCGAAGGGGAGGAGTTAGAGTTAGAGTTGTGGAGAGTCAGTCAGGTGTTAGAGAAGGGAGAGTGAGGATACATCTGTGGGTTGGGATAGTTTGATGTGAGAGAGTGAAAGAATCTGTTAGGAGGAGTCAGATAGACAATTGGGATAATTAGTTAGAAGTTATTAGGAAGGTATAGGCCGGTAAGAACCTAAGATTAAGAAACTGACAAGAAAAATTATCTGAAACCATAAACTTGTAAAGCTTATAAAATAAACTTGTTTATTTGGTTTAATGTTAACAACTGTCTGGACTCGAGAGAAACGGGTTGGTGGCAGCGGGGAAGCAATCACAGTGGTGGCACAGGGATCAATAGACCGTCAAACGTCCGGTGGCCCTGTGTGATCGCCACAAAAGTGGTGGCAGGGGTGGGATAACATCAATACCCGCCACTACTTTTGTGGCGATCACACAGGGCCCCCGGACGTTTGACGATCACACTCCCACTTAGGACAGGGCTGCATTCTCCTGCTTTAGGGATCCACCGTTACTTCTGTGGCACCAGCTGACATAATAGCAATTCCCATCTTGATCTCATTCATATTTGCATGCTTAGCAGCCAGTATGCTCCATACTATCACAACATAGCAAGTTTGCCATAGGTTTCACGATTGCTTTACTACAGTGTTGTAGTATTCAACATCTGAAGGCAACCCTGCTCAGGGAAGTTTTTTAATGTTTGATGTTTTATCATGTTTTTTAATATTCTTTTGGGAACCGCCATATGGGCAGGGTATAAATATATTATTATTATTATTATTATTATTATTATTATGGCGCTTCAAAATGTAGACCCTCCAAGTCTCCCTATTTTCCAAGGACAGTCTAGGATTTACAGAAGCTGTCCCAGTTTCTTATTTGATCCCAGAATGTCCCACTTTTCCTTAGTAAAGGTAAAGGGACCCCTGACCATTAGGTCCAGTCGTGACCGACTCTGGGGTTGCGGCGCTCATCTCGCTTTATTGGCCGAGGGAGCCGGCATACAGCTTCCGGGTCATGTGGCCAGCATGATTAAGCCACTTCTGGCGAACCAGAGCAGCACACGGAAATGCCATTTACCTTCCCACCGGAGCAGTACCTATTTATCTACTTGCACTGGCGTGCTTTCGAACTGCTAGTTTGGCAGGAGCAGGGACCGAGCAACAGGAGCTCACCCCGTCACATGGATTCGAACCGCCGACCTTCTGATTGGCAAGTCCTAGGCTCTGTGGTTTAACCCACAGTGCTACCTGCATCCCCTTTTCCTTAGGATGTCGTTATTGCCATTGGAGAAATGTTGGAGGGTTTGGCATTATGCGACACCCGAGCCAAGAAGATAACTATCTATACAACCTTCAGAAGATGTCTGAAGGCAGCCCTCTAATGCCAGCATAATTCCTATCCTGAAAAGGCAACAGTGGAAGAAGGACATCTTCTCCATAGTCTGAGGTGAACAAAACACACAAACTCTGCTCATTGTGGAGTCAGTCCCCTCCCCCTCTAGGAACCTGTCAGGATCCCATTGAATCCAGACCCTGGGGACCTTGGGAAGAGTGAGGGGCTGAAGATAGGATGCAACTGTCAGTAAGCAGAGGTGATGTAGGGATGAATGAATATGTCAATGAACCAATGAATATGAATGAATATGTCAGTTTTGATTTGTCCCAGTTTCTCATTTTTCAATCATTTCCCGGTTTGCCACATTTCTGCATTCAAAATTACATTTCTGCATGTAATTTTTGAATACATTCGCATTGTATTCAAAAATACATCAGCATTTCCTTGCGCTCTTTCTTTGACATACATTTCATCAATTAATTTTCCCTGATGCAACAGTTTTCTGTATGTTAATGTTAGATGCATTTTTAATCCACACTTTCCCCAGGGGTCAGTTTTGTACCCATCGTTTGGTTGGAAGACTACATTCCCCCCCAAAATTAAGGGTGAACATTTTGAAGAATAGCTGTGTTTCAGCTTGGGTACTGTTTCGGGGAGAAGTGTGAAGCTAGCTGGTTCCCTTTAAGATGTAAAGAGAACCAAATTTCTCCCCTACCCCCTAATGCAGGCTTCCTCAACCTCGGCCCTTGAGATGTTTTTGGCCTACAACTCCCATGATCTCTAGCTAGCAGGACCAATGGTCAGGGATGATGGGAATTGTAGTCTCAAAACATCTGGGGGGCCGAGGTTGAGGAAGCCTGCTCTAACGGATCAGGCTCAGAATCAGTATGTAGAGTCCTCTGGCACTAGTTAGGGCCATAGCGCTTTGAAAGGACCTACTGCTACTGCCTACCCTTGGCCCCTTCTAATCTCCCTCTCCAGTGTTCAGCTTTGAAACTATGTTGTGGACTGGCATCACCAATCAGAAGAGTGCCATTTTGGTTGACGTCAAGTAAGCCATTTGTGGGTGGGTTGGTGGGTTTCCCAGTGGCATAAAAAAGACCCCTGGACGGTGAAGTCCAGTCAAAGGTGTCTATGGGGTTGCAGCACTCATCTCACTTTCAGGCCAAGGGAGCCGGTGTTTGCCCACAGACAGCTTTCCGGGTCATGTGGCCAGCATGACTAAACCACTTCTGGTGCAACGGAACACTGTGACGGAAACCAGAGTGCACGGAACCACCATTTACTGCCGCAGTGGTACCTATTTATCTACTTGCACTGGTGTGCTTTCGAACTTCTAGGTTGGCAGGAGCTGGGACAGAGCAACAGGAGCTCACCCCATCGCGGGGATTCGAACCGCTGACCTTCTGATCAGCAAGCCCAAGAGGCTCAGTGGTTTAGACCACAGCATCGCCCGCATCCCAGTGGCATAGGACAGGTCCACAAGCTTGGGGTGAAGAGAAAGAGGAAATGGAAGCCATAGGGGAAAGCAAGGTAGGAGGAAATTCAACTTGGAAAGGAAGTTGAGCGTGGCACACAGTGTATCTCCAGGACCAAATTTCCATAGATATCCATGACTTAGTGGGCATTTCACTGCTTTTTATTGATTCTGAAACAGTAACTCCCCCAGCATTTGTAAATGACAGGTGAGACAATGAATGCAGTCAGCTAGACCAAGCAAATGAGTTATTAGCTACTCATTTCAAGGCAGAAACATCAACAGCTCAGCTACAGGCTCGTGAAGCTGCAATGCTTGGCTCATCCACACTGTCACATTCCGCAACAGGCCCCGGCACGTCCGCTTTCTACAACAGATTTAACAAGCAAACCACCAAGGGACGAGCCCTTTCCGTGGCAGGGTTCACATGTCCCCAGCGGTAGCTCTGCGTTGAAACCATTTTAGGTGACACTGAGTAACAGCCTGTAGAAATTTGATGCACGGTAATTGCAAGCATGAGCAGTCCCACCACAGGGACATCAGTTCTTGGGCAGAAATTGTTGGTTATGATGTATTCCTATAAGAAAAAGAGAGAAAATACATTTCTTGCAACTCTACCAGATACTGAATCTATGTATTTTGCGTAGAATCTAAGCAATAAGTGCTAAAATCTACCCAGTGAGCATCTCTGTGAAAGTCTTTGGTTCAAATCTCAACATAGCCTCAGCTCTGCCTCGGAAATGTAGCCATCTATGAGCAGCTCTTTTAGCTGGGTAGCTCAGTTGGTAGAGTGTGGTGCAGTCAATGCCAAATGTTATGTATTCAGGGTCACCTTTGACTGGACGTAAACATCTGGGATCCTTTACCCCTTTACCATATGTTAAGTTGTGGGTGAACATATCAGACGACACAGCGATTCTTCAAACAGCTCTTGTTTATTCACAGGCCAGGACAGAACTGAACTGAAGGGTTCAGTCAGCCTGCTTATATAGAGCTCCAGTACAACGTTACTGTAACAACTTTCTAAAACTATCCAATCACTGAACATCACTTTCAATCCTTTATTTGCATAACTATCTACAGTATCCCCCTGCTGGCCCAGGGTGAGAACTTCAGTACATAACACCACACACACACACACACACACACACACACGTATTAATAGGCAGAACCATGCCCATCCATAAGCACAAGACTTCAATTTCCTCATTTGTTAGACATAATGATGAAGGTTGAATAAGTTTTGCTTTTGTGCTCTTGCACACTACCTAGGATTTATATATATATAAATTTTTATTAGTTTTTTAACATATCACTTCCAACAGTAATTAAACATACTTTTACATCTTATTCATTTTTTTTTTACTTCCATCAGTCCTGTCTGAAATTTTTCCAATCTAATCTCTTAGTATGCATTTCTTATTTTCCCTATTACATTTCAATCCCATAATCAATATCTCTATCTTTTTCTACTTTGTAATACAAGATGGGTGACACCTGGCTTGAGAGCAGTACATGTGAAAAGGATCTAGGAGTCTTGGTTGACCACAAACTTGACATGAGCCAACAGTGTGACGCGGCAACTAAAAAAGCCAATGCAATTCTGGGCCTCATCAATAGGAGTATAGCATCTAGATCAAGGGAAGTAATAGTGCCACTGTATTCTGCTCTAGTCAGACCTCACCTGGAGTACTGTGTCCAGTTCTGGGCACCACAGTTCAAGAAGGACACTGACAAACTGGAACGTGTCCAGAGGAGGGCAACCAAAATGGTCAAAGGCCTGGAAACGATGCCTTATGAGGAACGGCTAAGGGAGCTGGGCATGTTTAGCCTGGAGAAGAGGAGGTTAAGGGGTGATATGATAGCCATGTTCAAATATATAAAAGGATGTCACATAGAGGAGGGAGAAAGGTTGTTGTTTTCTGCTGCTCCAGAGAAGCGGACACGGAGCAATGGATCCAAACTACAAGAAAGAAGATTCCACCTAAACATTAGGAAGAACTTCCTGACAGTAAGAGCTGTTCAACAGTGGAATTTGCTGCCAAGGAGTGTGGTGGAGTCTCCTTCTTTGGAGGTCTTTAAGCAGAGGCTTGACAACCATATGTCAGGAGTGCTTTGATGGTGTTTCCTGCTTGGCAGGGTGTTGGACTCGATGGCCCTTATGGTCTCTTCCAACTCTATGATTCTATGATTCTATGACTTTGTATATTTCTCCTTGCAAAACTTCTTGTAGTCCTACTGGCGTAATTTGTTGATTACAGTTGCTCTTCAAATAACACTACCTAGGATTTTTGAAGGGTGTGTGTGTGTGCACAGGTACATACATATTTGTGTATTTGTGTCCATGTCATAAATGAGAAATGTGTCATGGAAAACAAGTGATTCAGGCGAGACATTCCATCAAGCTGTGTTTCCTGGTGCTGAAGCCCAGTGGCAGGACAATACCGTATTTTTCGCTCTATAAGACGCACCAGACCACAAGATGCACCTAGTTTTTGGAGGAGGAAGACAAGAAAAAAAATATTCTGAATCTCAGAAGCCAGAACAGCAAGAGGGATTGCTGCACAGTGAAAGCAGCAATCCCTCTTGCTGTTCTGGCTTCTGGGATAGCTGCGCAGCCTG